CATCTTGAAGCGTTCTAAATTGTTCTGAATAGTCCTATTTCATCCTGAAGCATACTGAATTGTTCTGAACAATTGTATACCATCTTCAAGCATCTTAAATCTGCGTTGAACAGTTCTAATTCATTCAGAATCGTGCTGAAACGGTTCTCTATTATCTCGAAGCGTTCTAAACAGTTCTGCTTCGGTATCTGGCTCGAGTAGAGCTCGCGCAGCCCGAACTGAAACGCGACCGATTAAAATCGTATTAGATCCGACGGGAGCCGAGGAGAAAAAGTTTCGCGGATATAAAAATATGATGAATTTATAATCGGTTTTTAAATCGCTTAGAAGACGATTTCGATTCGGTCATGGGAACTGCTCGCTAGTACAAAACCTTTATTTTGATAGTAAAGTCTTCTTTGATCGTTGCTGTGTATAGCAAACGAAACCTACTAGATGTAAATGGCGTGTAATAAACTCTTTAATATTTAATGCAGAAATGTTTACACTAATAGAGTTCCCTTCCGAACGTGATTAGGCCGCTAATCAGCGTTATTAGCTCCCGTGTACGTGTTCTCATCTGCACACGTGCAACTGCTCGAACTAAAATCGGTTTTAGTATTAAATCCTTCAACTTCATTTAGAAGATAGCGGGTTATAAACACGACCCTTTATTTCTAATGTCTGGAATCTCCCTATGCTTATGCATTAGAGATTGTGTCCCGTTATTTGAGGACTTTTTGAGCTTCGCTTTTGCGCCGCAAGATGGCGAACGATCGGAGAACTAACTTATCTCAGCCAATCAGCGTTTCGTTACATTTAAATCGCGGTTGTGTGAAATGACAGTTCGAGCTGTCAAAACTTGAAAAATTATTATTTGACATTTCGAGGAGAAAATGGAGGAATACATTAACCGAAGATACGTGAGGCATGATGTTAACAACAAAATCATCGCTGATTTAAGTACATTATTTTCTATCTATTTTTAGTCTGAATAAAACCTACCTTAATGCTAATTCTAATTAAATAACGGGACACTTTTTCGACGTATGATTCCAGACCTTAGAAATATAGGACAGTGGTTATAAAAAAGCGCAGAGTTTCCGGGTATTCCCGGACATTCAACAAGTCTTTATCGGTCGATACATTCGAAGACTTTGCGAGGTAAATAGAGCATCGATTTGGGGATGGTGCATGCGATTTCTCTTCCGTCGGTAACCGCGGAAACCGAGAGAGAGAAATTTGCCCAGCAAACTGTAAAAGAGCGTTAAAAATCGTCCCATTGTTCGACCGAAAAAAAATATATATATAAAAAAAAACCAGAGAGCCGCGTCGATCATATGGTTAGATATCTGTTAAAATACAGAGTGTTTATCGCATCTATATGTTTTATTTCATCTTGAAGCGTTCTAAATTGTTCTAAACAGTTTTATTTCATCTTCAAGCGTTCTAAATATGTTTTATTGCGCCAGTTTTGGTCCATTCTGAAGCATTCTAAACTGTTCTAATTCATTTTGGGGCGTTCTGAAACAGTTCTACTTCATCCTGAAGCATTTTAAATTGTTCTGAACAGTTCTATTTCATCCTAAAGCGTTTTAAATTGTTCCCAACAGTTCTATTTCATCCTGAAGCGTTCTAAATTATTCCCAACAGTTCTACATCATCCTGAAGCGTTTTAAAATTGTTCTGAACAGTTCTATATCATCTTGAAGAGTTCTAAATTGTTCCCAACAGTTCTACATCATCCTGAAGCGTTTTAAAATTGTTCTGAACAGTTCTATTTCATCCTGAAGCGTTCTAAATTATTCCCAACAGTTCTACATCATCCTGAAGCGTTTTAAAATTGTTCTGAACAGTTCTATATCATCTTGAAGAGTTCTAAATTGTTCCCAACAGTTCTACATCATCCTGAAGCGTTTTAAAATTGTTCTGAACAGTTCTATATCATCTTGAAGAGTTCTAAATTGTTCCCAACAGTTCTACATCATCCTGAAGCGTTTTAAAATTGTTCTGAACAGTTCTATTTCATCCTGAAGCGTTCTGAACAGTTCTATTTCACCCTGAAGCGTTCTAAATTGTTCCCAACAGTTCTATTTCATCCTGAAGCGTTCTAAATTATTCCCAACAGTTCTACATCATCCTGAAGCGTTTTAAAATTGTTCTGAACAGTTCTATATCATCTTGAAGAGTTCTAAATTGTTCCCAACAGTTCTACATCATCCTGGAGCGTTTTAAAATTTTTCTGAACAGTTCTATATCATCTTGAAGAGTTCTAAATTGTTCCGAACAGTTTTATTTCATCTTGAAGAGTTCTAAATTGTTCCGAACAGTTCCGAATTGTTCTATATCATCTTAGCGTAAAAAAGCGTACGAAATCGTCCCATTGTTCGACCGACAAAAAAAAAATACAAAAAAAAAACCGGAGAGCCGCGTCGATCAGATGGTAGATATATCTGTTAAAATACAGAGTGTTTATCGCATCTATGCTAATGCTGACCTCCGTACAGCTCTAAGTGAGCGACGATTTTTCCTCTCGCGCGCGCGCCCGCGTACATTTCGTTCGCTCTTTTTTTTTCACATTTCGTTCTATTGTTGAAAATAAATAATTCGAAATAACAATGCGTGACATTGTTTTGTTTGTGCGCACCACCGTTAATGCTAGAGTAAATAACGAAATCGGTTTCCGAGCCGACGAATATGCGTACAATATAATGCAGGTAGTACCTGAAAAATATCCGCGGTTGAAATATAAATGACTAATAAGTACCGCCTACGCCGGTACCGTGGTATTATTTCTTTGCGCTTTTATCGAGCAGGTGCGCCTCTCGCTATACAGGGTGTTAATTATGTAATTGTATGCCGATATTTCGGGATGTGGATGTTTGGATGATTTTAAGAAGAAAAGTTTATATCGATGTATGTTCTAAATCTCTTAGTTTTCGAGCTACATGGTGTTGAAGTTTTAGAAAAAAAAACTTATAACTGTTAAATAATCTTTGTTAAAAATCTTAAATTCTTGTTCAGTAAAAATGGTAATATGCATGGCATCATCGAATTGTATACTTTTGACTTTTAAACTTGTCACTTGTCAAATTAATAAAAACAAAAACTTCGATTTCTAATGACTTATTTCTATTTATACAGATTGCTCCATTTTTCATTGCAACATGCTATGAGTGCAACGAAGACAACTTCAATTAAAACTTACAAAGGAAAAGGAAAAAGTGACTGATTTGTGTCATTGCAACTTTTCACTCTAACAACTGTCATTTTAATAACCTTTCTTTGTTCCACTCATAGAAACGACCATATTGCAATCGGAAATGGAGCAAGTTGTATATCAGATTTACCGAATATTTGCATTCTAATAAATTCTAAAAATGGCGGCGCCGCGACGCTCTGATTACCAACACGCGCGGTTTTTTTCCCCAAAAAATTTTAATTAGATTTTTTTTATGTGTTTTTTCAGCCGGCCGGCCGGAAAGCCGCGTCCAATTACGCGAACGCCAAGGAAATTTTCTGGATAGTCGATGAAAAGCGGGCGAGATTCGAGATTGCCAATTCGGCGAGACGACGACGCGAACCGTCGTCGCGACGCCATCGGATCTTCGACGAGCTTGAAATTTTGCCTTCCCGTTCGTTGTACTGGGTGAGCAAAGTTTCAGGTGTGTCGACGGTTCGTCGTTGATGTTGTTTTGGGTTGGTTAGCCGCGACGGAAGAGGCCCGACTTTCGCGGCCGGGCCGGATGGTTGCGCTGGTAGAGGCCGGGGCGAGTTTAAATTGGATAATTCGATCGATTAGGTAGGACGTGCCGTAATCTTTAAACCGGTACGCTTGAACTTTGTTTTTCCTGTGCTTTGAAATTAGGTGAGCAAAGATTCAGGTGTGTCGATTGAGATGTTTCTGCGAGTACGACCCTTTTTAGGAAATACGCGGTTGAACGAAGAAAGATTATTCAGATAACGGTGGCTAGAGTGAGAAGGCTGCAGTACAATATGGTCATTTCTATGAGTGGAACAAAGAAAGATTATTGAAATGACAGCTGTCCGAGTGAAAAGCTGCAATGACACAAATCAGTCACTTTTTCTTTTTTCTTTATAAGTGTCTAATGGACGTTGTCTTTATCGCACCCATAGCCTATGTAGCAATGAAACATGGAGCAATTTGTATAAGACTAATATATGGAAGTTGTTTTTGTTGCACCCATAGCCTATATATTACAAACTATTGCCCATTTACTTGTATAATTGTTAGAATAATGGGAAAATGTATAAATATAATATATTTTAAGTAGATTGAATTATTTACCTTTTAAATTTCTTCCTTCCTCTTTACTGGCCTCACCAAACACACCAAATAAATTTCTAAACGGCTTTAAATTTCAAAATTCAAACAGCCTACAACAGTAGTCTGACTTATTTATCTGTCAGCTGTCAAAAAAGTCTTCTTTTTTTATTTGTCCTGAATTGATTGGCAGTTAACTGAATAACTCTAGCAACTTAGATTATTACTAACCAAAAAAATTAAGTGAAATGATCTAGACTGTTCTAAATGATTCTGGAGCGTTTCTAGATTGATCTAGGCTGTTCTAAAATGATTCTATAGAGCTCTGGATTGATTTAGCGTGTAAATGAACACTAATACAGATTGCTTTTCGCAATAATACTTAATAATATGTAGCATTAACAAAATGAATTGATTTGTAATTACGTACACGAACTTTGGGATTTGTAATATACACAAAATTGAAAGACAACTTCAATACTTCATCTTTTTTGGTTAGAATACTAAGTTTCTAGAGTTATTCAGCCAACTGCTAAAAACTTTCGGAACAAATAAAAAAGAAGACTTTATTTGACAAATGACAGATAATTGACACTATTGACAGTGACAGTACACGAAACGCATTCAAACAAAAAACAAGCTTGTTAATATACTAGCGATATTTAACAAGTTAGTGTGTTTTTAACAACGTCTAATAACAAAACTATAAAAAGTATCCAGCTATTATGATACTAGTATGGCAAACGAGCCCAAAAACCCGGACGAACTACTGAAAGGCTTTCAAATGTATCCTTTTTTTCACAACTAACAACAAAACCCGCCGTTAATCTAACAAAAATGCCACATTTTCCTTACTACACACATAATAACATTACCCGATCAGTAATTGGATTTGTCTAAGAGATGCGGACGGCGGCAAAATCTTCTGGCAGGGCTCCGACGATTTGAGTTACCCGGACGTCGAACATGAAGCTCGAGTACCTAAGAACATCCTCAAATGTCGTGCAGTATCTAGAGAGTTTAACTTTAGCTCCAAGGAGCAAATTAACAAATTTAGGTAAATATTGATACAGCGCACGAAACGATTTATTAATATTATTATTACGAACGCTCGTAGGTTGGAACAGAAGGTTCTATTTAAAGGAAGGTGTCTTGAGGAGTGGAACTTTGAATTTGGTTTTGTTATGTCAGAGTCGACAAATACATGGCAATCCATTATGGAGGCCGCGCCTGAATCGCAAATGATGCCCGCTTCAGTATTGAAGTGAGTAAATTAATACAATCTTAATACTTATACAGGGTGTTTCTTCCAAAATGACATGCTAATATTTAAGAGGGTGATTCTTGGGCCTATTTTAAGAAAAAAACTCCATATGAACCTATGTCCTAAACGTCTTAACTTTTGAGATACAGAGTGTTAAAGTTTGAAGTTTTTTTCTTAAAATAGGACCAAGAATCGCCCCCTTAAACATTAGCATGTCATTATGGAACGCCCTGTATAAACGATCAAATTTTACAGCGGAAATATAGTAATTGAAACGAAATTTTTCGACGACGATCTGCTCATATCCACGTCGAGGGTGAGGCTATTTTACGTTTAAAAACCTTTTGTACCGCTACGAAGAATGATTGTTAATTAATTTTATAGACTAATAAAGGCTCGGTTACTAGTAAACTACTTGGTTAAAGTAATTAGCGCACCTGATAATCATAGAAAAATATATTTTATAACATCAGTAAGTAAACATCGTTTTTTTTTGTTTTGTATAGAACGAAGGAAACTCTTTCTAAATTTTCGATTGAAAAACAGCTCAATATAGACATTTGACGATATAAAACGAGACGAAAACAATGCCACAAAACAATTCGTCCAGAAACTAACCCGTTTTATCACATATATAACAATTAAAATCGATTCGATAAATCCTAAAAGCCTATTCAGACTCGAAGAGAGAGATCCATCTTACGGCCCGTTTCCGGAGTACCTCGGAAGCCGCGCGTTTCGCGGTACCGCTCGAAACTAAAACAACTAATCGAACGAATTTAAAAAACAAAAAAGCAAACCCCTAATTGTAGATGTTCCAAAGGGCGATCAAGCCGTCCGAGCTGCTCGACGCCATTATGTTGGACTTCCAATAGTTGACGGGATGCGGCGAGAACTTCACGTCGGTTATCGACTCCTTGTGCTCGGCCAAAACCGCCAACAACCTCAGCGTTTTCCACGAGAACAACCTCACTTTGCCGTCCCAACAGCCGGCCACCAGGATCTTCTGGTCCGGCCGCAACTTCACCACGTTGCAACCTAGAAATAAACACCTCCCGAATTAAGCCGATTCGGCAACGCCGCGCGCTCACCTTCGTTGGTGATGGAGATTTCTAATTTAACGGCCATTTCGTACGACGAATCGACGGTGAACAATTGGAGGTTCTTCGAGGCACCGCCGGCCACGGCCCGCCTCGATACCGGATCGTACGTTATTGAAGTCAATTGGTCTTGGAGCTTGAGATGGCCGCAGGGCCGGAACGTGTTCATATCCCACAGCACCACGTCCCCTACGAGTAACATTATGATAGTTCGAGTGGACATTTCGAGCGGGTCTCTTACCGGTCTCGTATCCGGCCATGATGCAGCAACTGCTGCCGATCGTGACCTCTTCGAGCGCCATGATTTTGCCCAAGTTCTCCCTGTCGGGGGCCAGCGAGCGGATCGTCTCGAAGGTCTTCACGTCGACGACGTCGACGCGGCCGTTCTCCTGCGGCACGACGAGCGCCTCCTCCACCAGGATGCTCTTGCCGAAGCCGGCGCCGCAGGTGAGGGTCTTCTCCGGCTCGTAGGAGCTCTTGCGCACCGACCACAGCTTCAGGCAGCCCTCCTTCTCCTGCGTGACGATCTTGAAGTCGAAGCTGTGCAGGGCCTGGATGGATTTGCCCATTTCTTGCTTGTGTTGCAGTCGGTTCGTCTGCGGAACGGTTGGAATTGTGTTATAATGGAGTATAATGTTGTAAAATGGCCTTTTACCTCCAAGTCCCAGAAGTAAACGGTGCCTTTTTCGGTTCCGGCCAATATGTGCGATACGAAATTGGAACTCCGGACGCAGAAACTCAGACTGTGAATGTGCCCCATGTCCTCTCTGAAGCAATACACGGGATCAGGTGGTAGAATCGCCATGACTTCGCCGTGAGGTTTCTTGCCGGTTTGCCTTTTGAACAGGCCGATTTGCAACGAAAACCGATAAAATATAATAAAAAGGCAATTAAAAAACTTCTACCTAAACAAAAAATTAACCTAATCCACATTTGTTTGGGTTTTTTTTCACTCGAATTTCTTCGTTCGGTTCGATTGCAATGACAACTTTGACAGCTGGCATCTTCTTCTTCTTCTCTGTTACATGGCCTCTTGCGTTGTGTCGCACAGCTGGCATCATGACATTTCTCTGGATTTCTTCTTTTTTTACAAATTAGTGATTTTGTAATTTTATAAGAAATAATAAATGGAAATAGTAAATGCATAAGATATGAACCCATTGAATCCATCCTGAATATAAAGTAACAGTAGATAAAAGTAGTGAATTATTTTTGCTGGTCTTGGGTGCAAGTGCCATTCAGCCTCCTAATATATTTTTGACGTCATAATGACTTGACATTTATGACATTGACATTTATCGGAATGACATGTCAAGAAAAAACATGAAATGTCAATTTACAAATTATGAATATTCAATAATAACTATAATTTTTTAATTGTTCATTAGATAGCAGCCTTAATTTAATAATTGTATCCTTTTAATAACAACAAACTACCAAAAAAATACCAAGGTAAGAAAACTTCCTTATATGCGTCCGATCTAAACGAATATTCGCATCGCTCGTTTCTCGAGATAACGAAAACATGATTCTCGGCTAATGAATTTGTTGATTCAGTTCGAAATCGTTATGTAACGTTTATTAGTTTAACAACACAAATATTATAACCTAACTCTAACGTCAGAACAATGACAAAATTAAATTCAAATTGTTCAAAATGTAAACGCAAAAACATGCCAATCGAAAAGTAACAGTCCCAAACGAGTGATATATTATTAGTTCTCGCAAGTGCAGGTAAATCGACAAATGTGTCACAGGCCAAAGTTTAAAGTTTACATTTTAATGCATTATTTACATACCTTATATTCTTTTGTACATGTTCCAGTGAAATGATATCTTGTGTTCATGTCGCCCTCGCCGAACGCATTAACCTACCCGCATTGCTCAATTCCAAAGAGGTACAACTACACCTACATTTCTAATCATCAATCCTATTAAATTTATCCGTTTTTACGTTCACAGCTGGTCTGCGCCGATTGCGACTGTCACGGCCCCAACCTATGGATTTGCCTATACAAAAACTGCCTAAGAATCGGATGCGCCGAGAAATCCAACGACCACAGCACCCTACACAATGCGGTTAGTACCCACTACCCCCAAAGAAAATGCATAACTCTATGACCCATTGATATCGATGCCTAAACCGTACGATCAATCCATGGCTGTATAACTGTATGACCTGTAGATGGCTGAATAACTAACTGTATGACCCATCGATGGCTGTATTAACTGTATGACCCCTAGATGGCTGAATAACTAACTGTACGATTCATTTATGGCTGCATAACTGTATGGTCCATTGATATCGATGCCTAAACCGTACGATCAATTGATGGCTGTATAACTGTATGGCCTGTAGATGGCTGAATAACTAACTGTATGACCTGTAGATGGCTGAATAACTAACTGTATGACCTGTAGATGGCTGAATAACTAACTGTATGACCCATCGATGGCTCGTAGATGCCTGACTAACAAACCGTATGACTTTCTGATGGCTGTATAACCGTACGATGTCGTTTTTCAGACCAGCCCGACGCACTGCGTGCACATGAACCTGTCGACGAAGCGGATCTGGTGCTACGAGTGCAAGCGCGAGGTCTTCATGTCGCAGGACGACAGCGACGGGACGGCGGCGGCGTCGGGACGCGCCATCGACTCGGGCCGAGGCAGCTACGCGACGCTGCGCACGGCGACGCCGGACGCCGACCGGCGCGGCTCCGCCGGCGACGCCTCCGATTCGAGCGACGCCGACGCCGACGCGGAGTACCGCCCGTACGCGGCCGACCGCCCGCGCGGCCTCGTCGGCCTGCAGAACATCGGCAACACGTGCTACATGAACGCCGCCCTGCAGGCGCTCAGCAACACCGAGCCCCTCACGAAATTCTTCTTGGATTGCTCGTACGTCGTGCACCTGCTCAGCGACGGCAAGAAACCCGGCCTGAGCAGGACCTATCAGGCCCTTATGCGCGACGTGTGGATCAAACGGATCAACCAAGGTTACGTCACACCGTCAGGTACTCTTACTAAATTACTCTTACCTAATATTCATCGAATGATTCTTACGAATTACGTTTTCGTAGGTATATTATACGGCATACGAAGCGTACACACGATGTTCCGCGGCTACCAGCAGCACGACACGCAGGAGTTCCTGCGCAATTTCATGGACCAGCTGCACGAGGAACTGAAGCAACCGTCGCCGCCCGATCTACAATCGAACCTCCACCATCATCATCATAACCACTATCACCATCACCGTCGCCAACACCAGGCGCCGTCGGCGTCGAATTCGAGCGGTTCGGCGTCGTCGGCGTGCGACGCCGACACCTTCAGCCTGGCGATGGAGGAGCCCTGTGCGGCGCACGCGCCCCTCATGCCGGTCAATTCGTCGGGGTACGATTCGAGCGAGGCCGAATACGAAACGTGCGATTCGGGCGTGAGCGAACGGTCGAGTTTGAGCGACGACAACGACAGGCCGCCGAGCAACGCCAAGAGGAGATTGAGCCGGTGCTCGAGCCCCAATAGGAGGCAGAAGCAGCGCGTCGTTATCGGTAATTTTGTTGGGTTAAAGAGCTATATTTGGATGGTTCATTTTGATGCGGTTTTTCTCTTACTTTCCCGCGCTCTAACTCGCCCAAATATGGGTCAATTTCTTTGTTCCACAGTTCTCTATTTATTCACTGCTTAGCAGAGGCCTCTCTCTAAATCTTTCCATGTATGTACCTCTGTCCTCTGCTGCTATTACAACTCTTTTGCAATCTTCCTCGATCTCTTTGTTCATATATTTTCCTTCTTCTATGTCTACGCCTGTATATTTCTACGCATCTGGGACCTTTACCGCGCTCTAATTCGCCCAAATATGGGCGTCAATTTCTTTGTTCCACGTTCCACAGTTCTCTATTTTACCACTGCTTAACAGAAGCCTCCCTCTAAACCTTTCCATGTACCTCATTACGGCTCTTTTGCAATCTTCCTCCGCTGTTGAGTTCGCCACAATCAATTGAAACGAGCGTTTTTGTAATCGATTTCGTAGATTCGCAACCGACCACATCGAATACCAGTTCCTCCGATCAACCAACGAATAAGAAACAACAACCGAAATATCGATCGATCATATCGGACATATTCGACGGGAAATTGCTGTCGTCCGTCCAATGTTTGACGTGCGACCGCGTCTCCAGCAAAATCGAAACATTCCAGGACCTGTCGCTGCCGATACCGTCGAGGGACCATTTGCAGGTGTTGCACGGTCGCAGCCAACCGCCCGCCGCAGGTTCGCTTTATACTACAATTTTAGTTATATTTAGTTATATATACGATTCGTTTCGTTGTAAAGGTACCTGTTCGGAGGCGCTGATGCCGATCGAAGACGGCTGGGTGTCGTGGCTGTTGACGTGGCTGCGGAGCTGGTTCTACGGGCCGACGGTGACGTTGCACGATTGCCTGGCCGCCTTCTTCAGCACCGACGAACTGAAAGGCGACAACATGTACAGCTGCGAGAAGTGCAACAAGCTGCGCAACGGCGTGAAATTCAGCAAGGTGCTCCAGCTGCCCGAGGTGCTGTGCGTCCATCTGAAACGGTTCAGGCACGAGTTGATGTTCAGCAGCAAGATCTCGTCGACGGTGAGCTTCCCGTTGCGCGGGCTCGACATGCGGCCCTATCTGCACGTCGATTGCGCCTCGAAGGTGTCGTCGTACGAGCTGTTCTCGGTGATTTGCCATCACGGCACCGCCGGCGGCGGTCACTATACCTGTTTCGCGGCGAATTCGGGCCAGTGGTACGAGTTCGACGATCAGTACGTGACGAAGGTGAGCGCCGATAAGGTGCGCGACTGCGAGGCGTACGTGCTGTTCTACAGGAAGGGCGGGCAGGCGTCGGAGGCGGCTCGAAGGAAGGCCGAGGAGATGTTGGAGCGGTGCGCCGGCGAGGGTTTGGAGGAGCCCATCAAGCGAGCTTATATATCGAGGCAATGGATTAACAGGTGTGTGTATATCGAGGGTTGTCGGGTGGGTTTAGATGAGTGTTACTTGATGAATTCGCTGCGGGAGCTCGAGTTTGTTTGTTAACGCGCCGTATATCAGTTTTTCCGATTTTCTTAATGAAAAAACATCCTGTACATCAAATTAAATGTCGACGGAAAAATGACAACTTTGACAGTTCGAAGTTTTGTTCATCGCCGCTGTCATTAGTGTAGGTTTTTTTTAAGTAATTTGATCGTTTCTCGGTTTTCGATAAGTACAAATGCGCCCAAGGAACATACATTTTTGGGAATTATTACAATTTCTTTCACTCTCGTCCATTAAAAGCGACGAAATTGTCGAAATAACGAAAAAATCTCCCATTTCGGTGTTAGTTCCGTTTAAACCAAACGAACGGGCGACGTCCCTCAAATAATTTATTATGGCGTTTTCCATTGGTAAAATAGTGCGCACTGAAAGTGCACTCAAAGCGAAATTTTTGTTTTATTTGGTGGACTGTGCGAGTGTTTTGATTTCCAAAAGTGTTTTTTTGGTGGCCAGATTGCCAATGGAAGAAAGAAATCTGTCATTTATTTAGACACTTACGTAGTAAAAGGCCGCAAAAGAACGAAAAATGACAAAACAATACGTCAACCGTCAACTTGGATACTTTCCAAAATGGCGGACTTTTAGCATTTTTAAATCGCGATAGCGAATTTAACCGTAAAAAATGATATACTACTGAATATTTTGCGTTTCGTAGGTTCTACTACTGCAGCGAACCGGGCCCCATCGACAACTCGGACTTCCTCTGCCAACACGGCGCCGTCAGTCCCGATCGCGACGTCGACATCGACAAAATCGCGACGGCCGTGCCGCTCGAGCTCTACCAGTATTTGCACGGGAAATTCGGCGGTTGCGCGCCGTTCGTCGATTGCGCCGTCTGTCCGGCGTGCGCCGCCCTCCAGGGCCGCCTCCTCCACGAGATGGAGACCTTTCTGCGGGCGAGCCGAGACGCGCAGGCGCGCGACGCCCCGCACACGCACTACCTGTCCAGCTCTTGGTACACGCAATGGCACAATTTCGTGCAGAAGCGCAACCACGAACCGCCCGGTCCCATCGACAACACCAAAATCGATCCGGACCGATTGGACGCCAAAGAGGCGGCCGACGTGCCCGAGGCCGTCTGGACCTTCTTCCACGACATCTACGGAGGTAAATTCAACGCCAATTCCGCCCCGCAAAACCCTACAATTCCTCCTATAAACCTTAATAATAGTAGTGTGAAACTGGTTGCCTAACAATCAGGCGTACGCAAATCACAATGCATGCAGTAGAAGCGATGTGAAGCGGGTTGCCTAACAATCTGTAATGTGTAAATCTGTTTGTAGGGGGCCCGGAGATCCGGATAAGGCGGCCGGACTCGCCGGAGGAGGCGCCAGCCAGGTTCTGCGAGAAGGTGGAGAGCGAGGAGTCGGACGCGGCGGAGGAGAAGCGCCGGAGCGGATTGGCGCAGGGCGAGCCGATGGAGACGTCGGAGGGCGTCGCGACGGAGAACGGCGAGCCGGAGAACGGGTACGACGTGGAGGACGGGAGGAATTCGTCGATTGATGCGGTAGGTTCGGCGAAGGAGGTGTCAATTTTTTTTTCGTCGCTATCGTTGTGGATTTTTTTCAGATGCTGCCAAATAATAAAGTAGATAATAATGCGGAGAGCGCGGGGGAGGAGGCGGAGAAGGAGGCGGAGAAGGAGAGTAAGGAGTACAGGAGTCACAGGAGATATCGAAGGAGGAGGAAAAACTAGCGCGACCGCGAACGGCGTGTTCTCCTTTATTTTTCCTCGCTACAAATGAGAGTAACTAATAAATACATTTGTAAGATATTAAAATATTATTTCATTGTTATTTATTTGATTAAACGGAAATAGGAATTTTCGTGGTTTCTTTTTTTTCGTCGCGTTTAAAAGGGGTAATGTTTGTGGTCTTTGTATTGCACCATAGCCGAAACTCTGATGTTTTTATTCAATGATTTCAAGTAACAAATATCGTCGTCTGATAAATCGAAATCGAATATCTCGAAATTTTCGACGATTCTCGATCTGGTTACCGATTTAGGTATTATAGTTATGCCCAGGGAAAGCTTGAAAAATATATAAATTAACGGCATAAATTAACAAAAAAAATCCACCAGATACTTACTAAATATCTCAAGACGACTTGCGCGGCGGTTTTGTTGTATTTCTTCCCCATTTCTATCACTTTCGGGTCCAGTACAGTAGCCGTAGGATAACCGGGTTCCCTGCTCTTCCCGATCCTTTCTAGAGGACAAAAAGCCGTCACGACTATATCCCTATCCTTGCAAAATTTGATCAAACCGCTCTGGTTATTGTTCGGATTCACCTCGACCTGATTAACAACCTACAAAAAAAACCTCTCTACAACAAATTCTAATCAACCGTACGTTAACCCACAGGTTTAATTCTACAGTGTCCCAGCACTCGTTCGATTTGGCCTTCGTTGAAGTTGGACAACCCAATGCTTTTCGCCAGCCCTTCTCTAACGCATTCCTCCATTCCCTCCCACGTTTCCAAGTAATCCACGTCGCTGTAATCGCTGCTGCTCGTGGGTAAAGTACAGCCGTCTTCCTGTTGAAAGGCATCGATTAAATCGCATCGACGGAACAGTTACCCAACGAACCTTAAACGCAAAAGGCCAATGCACGAGGAACAAATCCACGTAGTCCAATCCCAGCGAACACAACGACTCCCTCAGCTTCGGCACGACGTTCTTCCTATCGTGGAAGTTGTTCCAGAGCTACGATAAGTGCGATAAGTGCGAGCCAGGTATGCTGCGATAGAAGTACCTTTGTAACCATGAAGATGTCCTGTCTTTTGACGGTACCGTTGCGGAAGGACTCGCTCAGAGCGCTGCCGATTTCCTTTTCGTTGCCGTAGAACCAAGCGGTGTCTATGTGCCTGTAGCCCACTTCGATGGCGCATTTTACGGCCTCTCTGACTTCGTTCTCTGCGGACTAACGGAAGGAATAAATAAAGCAATGTTTACACTAATTATAAGAGTTTGTAGCTTACTTTATACGTACCCAGACCTATGGTTGGTATTGTCATACCGTTGTTCAGTTTTAAAACCTTTGGTACACAGGACATGCTTACAATATATTATGTAATTATTTGTGACTTGCAACTTGTAAAGTTTCAACCTGGAAATTTTCGTTGCGCTGTAATGATAATTGAAGTATTGTTTGATTTAATTTACTTACTTAATTAGTTTGTTTTAATTATATCGAATCCGTTGGGTTTATTTCAAATTTTAATTAAAAAATGTAACCTCACTTTTTCTTTTTTTTGACAGATAAAGTGTCCTCTTATATCCTCTGCTTACATCAATCGTATTACGCGATTTCGTAATGTTGGTTGCATAAGTAAGCGATGCGAATATTTAATTTTAGATAGGCTATTATGAATGAATATAGATAAAAATATATAAATTTCGTATAACACATTTTTTTTGTTCAAAATATATCGTACGTACGAATTATTAAGTATAAATTAAAGGAATACGAGGTGTATTTACAACAAAATGGCGATGACATAACTGTCAAAAAGTTTGTTCGTTTCGTACACCGACTTTAGGGAGTGAGCAGTCAAACGCAATGAATTCCGAGTAATTAGAAGGATTTAGTCAATAGTGGTATTCGAAATGCTTGTTTAACGAGATAAAACGATAATTAGAGATAAAATCGAATAAGGAACAGATGTAATTTGATCAAATTTAATGCAATGTGAACGTTTTTTTTCGAAAATACGTCAACCGAACGCACCGCGCCGGCCGCAACGAACGCACCACTTTGCCGTTTCTTATGACCGCCATTTTACATTGCCGAGGTGGGGATACGCTAACTGGCGTTCTTGTCGAAAGAAATTTACGAAAAGTGTCGCGTTTTCGTCCATCGAATCGGAAAATTCCAGTGCTAATTGCGAGAACAAACGGCCCGTTCGACCGGCGGAATCGTTTCGACGTTAGTGCCGGCGTGTTTTGTGTACGAGCAGCGAAGAAAGCCCGCCCGACTGGGAATCTAACAGCGTGGCTCCATTTGGCTTCTCTTTGTTTCTGTGCTTGTGCTTTCCGCCAGAGAAAGTTTAAGGTAAGCCAGCCAGTTTGTCGATAATTTAGCGCCGTTCGATGGCGTTTTTCGGCGACGAATTCGCGTAGTTTTCCGCGATTTCGCATATTAGTCATTTGGAAATCGCTTAGCGGCGAAAGCGTTGTTTTTTTTTTCTATCGCTATCGCTTCGGCCGCCTTTCGATTCGTTTTCCTCGTGTGTGCGTATACGATACAAAATACAATCTCTTCGGCCGATTCGCGATTCGTGTTTGCATATTTACACTCGTGCGATTTGTATACATATCGGTGTAATTAGGTCGTTTCGATAACTACACCAATACTACACTTTTTCTGCACAAGTAAACAATAAGTTGCAACGCGACCGACGGGCATAGCATCCTAGATTATCCGATCATTAGGGGGATCTTCCCGTTTTTGTTTTTTGTACTGTTCTGTGAGTTTTTTTCTTTTTATTTTATTCTTTTTTTATCGTCCCGTCCGGTTATTGGGAGTTTCAAAGATGGTGATCCGGTGTTGTTCCACTTTAAAAGCCGCCCGAGGATTTGTTTGGTGCGTGCGGCGTGGAAAAAGTTTGTTTATTCTAACGATGTAATTCGCACTTTGTTGTTTTTTTTTTTCTAATTCGATACGTGTACGATGAAAAAATATTATTTATTATTATTTTTTTTAATACAACCGAATTGTTTAATAACAATTAATCGGCGTTTATTTTTTGTGGAATAATTAGCGCGTGACGTATCGCAAAATAGCGTGCGTTTTGTTTGCGATACGAATTAATTACGTCACTTACGTCACTAACTTGTCAAATTTGACAGGTGAAATGACGCACGAATTCAAAGAAACGTCAAGGTTACTAAACGATAAATCAAGGATGCCTCGATTCTAACCCCTTCGTTGACCCTATTACCTGCTAACATAAAAAAAAACTAGTTTGTTTTGATTTTATAATGCTAATCTTGTTTCACCTACATACATTACACTGAATTGCATTGAGCAATCTCGTGTAGTGTACAACACTTACCAGTCACTTTTTTTATGTTCTGTGGTCAAGAAACGTCAAAAACGTTTTGTTGTTAAAATTTGACAATTTGAACACGTTGGATGCCGCGAGAGCGTTGATAATTAACTGATTAATTAATAGGATACCAAAGTATTAGGAATTTTTGGGGGTTAAAATGTATTATACGAATCGTTTGGGAAATTCTTAATTAAACTACCGGCGCGCGATATGAAAAGTTTCCTTTTTTTCCGCGGAAAAAGGCGGAAAGTTGGCGTTTGGAAAACTCGCCGAGGGATGATCGCCCGGCTAACCGTAAGAGAGCGAGAGAGAGAGATAGAGAAACGGTCGAGCGAGAGCGGAATAGAGCGAGCGGGGAAAAAGTTTTTCCTTAACCGGTCGGACGGGAAAACTTTCTCGCGGCCGACTCGACGACATTCTAAACCGTTAAAAAGTTTTCCGCGATAGAAACTAAAGTTGTTACAAAAGCGTAAGTTTATATACTTTATGGCCGAAGTTAGTTTCGAGTTTCGGATCGATTCTGACTCGTTTTCCGCGGGCCGTACTCGCCACAAATGTCCCAAGGATTTCGGTTAAAATGATTAGGAACAGTCGCAACATTGAGAAATTGCATTTATTAATTTTTACCAGCAAAATTTTGGTGTTTTTTTTATGTCCATAATTCCTGTACTATTTCTTCGCAAAATAGCGTTTATAGTACGAGAATTGCGGTTGATAAAGCGTTTAAAATTTCGACAGTAGGCCGAGAAAATTTCATTAAATATTTCGTTGCGCATGACTTTTGCTTTTCCCATTATAAATCCGGAATTGTTGGGTTTTTTCGTCAACAACGGCAACGCCGAACCTGCGGCGAAAGACCAACGAAGACGAGAGAGACCCCGAAAAACGAGGACGGACAAAACTCGGGAAAATCGGCCGGGAAAAGTTCAACGCGGCCAAAACTCTCCCCCCGTATATACTCGCTTAAAACCAATCCGTTTCCAACTTTTTATTTTTTTATTTATTTATTTTATTTAATTTATTTATCCTACCATCCTTTTGGTATGTTTCGCTTAATCGAACTTTGATCGAACAATCGAAGCAAGCGCGAAATTTTTACACGTTTTCTCTCTATCGAGAGAGAGAGCAATCCTTTTTTGTGTTATTTAATTACCCGGCGCCTACCCTGATCAGCCGCCATTAATCCGGCGTGCCGTCGCCGCCCCGACGCTGTCCTTTTTCTTTATTATCTCTCGCCTCTCGCCCGGTCTCTGTCTACCCCCCCGGGCCTCTACCGACTGGCTCCTCCGGTCCAGGACGCTCCGCAAAGGACCGGCGATGGAGCGAAATCGAAACGGCAAAAGGCGAAGAAAATCGAACGGGAAAGACGCTCGAGAGGAGGGCGGGTGGGTCAAGGGATTGCACTTTTTTTTTTGGAAATTAATTAGTGATTTATGGTGCAGAAATTATTGGTTTAACCCTGTATAATTAAGCGAAATGGTATGATTAATGCGGCGTACAGGTAACGTTTAATTCTATGAAATATCTCGAATAAATAAGCGGGAATTTTATTTTATTTGTTGATAAAATTACGTACCGAATAAAAAATTGGAGATTAGTTGTTGTTTACCGACGGTTATTTTTATCTGCGGCTTTTAAAATATCAATCGAACGCGCCGAATTGGCAGATAAAATATTAAAAAAAATTACAACATAAATGGAAAATGTGTAGTGTATATACGGTTGAGTCGAAAAAAAAAATGCGCTGAGTATCGACGAATGGTAAAAACAAAAATTATTGCGAAATAATCTTAATTACGTGACTAATTTTCGTATGAAAATAAGATAAAAATGAATCGGAAATAGGTCAGTTTTCCTCTTACTATAACCGACGTACGAGGGGCGCGCGATAAATTTCGAACTCGCAGCACGCTAGACGAAAAAGAAGGCAAATAAAATATGCGACGTCATTACTGGATTAACGTGAACTTTCCATATCTAAAATAACGGTCGTTAATCGATAATTCGTCGGAAGTTTCTAATGTGTTTGTATACTACATACATATCTCATAAACGGAGATGTTTTAACCATATTCCCGAACACATTTCCTAACTTTATCAAAATTAACTTTGAGGCAATAATAGTTTGAAGAGGGAGTGTATGTGTGTGTGTGTGTATTTCGAAACGCATTCGCGGAGTTTACGTTTGCCCAATAACCAGCGGCGTTACCAATTTAATTAATAATATTTTTATAATATACAGGGTGTTCCTAAATATCGTGTACATTCGAAAGGGGGTGATTTCTTGGCTTATTTTATGACTAAAAGTTCATATAAACGTGGGTCCGCAAACGCTTCGTTATCGATCTACAGGGTGTTGAAATTTCATTTTTTTTTTGTTTGTTTGTTTTTTTGAATCGCCCCCTTTCGGAAGTATACGATGTTTACGAACACCCTGTATATACCAAGCGTATAGTATGCATTCCATAATATCACCTCGTGACGTCACGACAGCGTTAAACCCTATACAGTATTTATATGACGTCATTTTCTACTTCACGATGCGTATAGGTATAGTGCATTCGATAAAACCAGCTCGTGACGTCACGATTTTTTTTTTGTAAATTCGTTATTCTATAGGTGAAAACGGGCGTTCGAGTGCGCTGCTGCTAATAATCGGGGAAATGTTGGAAATCTGTGCGATGTAAACCGCCTTTTACGAATCCTCTCTCCCGAAACTTTGCTAACTACAATGCGCCCCGTTACAAACGACATTTATCTTTGTTTCGGGGGGGGGTGGTTGGTGTAACTTCGGCGGCGACCGAAATCGAGGGCAGTTTATAATGGGTTTCGGTCGGATTAAATCCAATTAAACTTCGAGAAGGGCAAAAAAAATTGTACGAATTTTCCCGGGCTATTAAAAAACTCGCGAGGGTGGAACAAATAACGGATATTTATTTATCATCGTGTGTTTCGAATAATTGTAATTGGAATATCATTTATTTTCGCGTTATACCCGCCGTTCGGTTCGAACGGAAGGTATTTGTTTTTTTTTTAAGGTTCAGGTTTTTCGGGATCTTTCGAGGTTTAATTAACTTAAAAAGTTTGTTCATTAAACCGCGTACCGCAAAAGCGACGGAGAGAAACCGGGCAGGGAGGCGAGCGAGACGGACGGAAAAGTCGGGGATGTTCTCGTCGATTTTGTAAGAGGGAAAAGTTTTGAAATGCATTTTAAATGACACGAACAGGACCGGACTTATTCCACGGGAATCGTCGAGTTACCTAGTTCGATGGAAATGTTGTCGTTCGACTAGGGGAATTTCGCTGATGCGGTGTTGCCATATCGTTGCTCAAAAAAATTCCGTGGTTGACACGTTTTGAATACAATTTGTTATTTTTGTGGCTTTCTCGGCGATTTTTCAAATTTGTGCAATTAAGCGGTCTCGGCTAGCTAGATCATTCGGTCGGACTTCGACTGTCGGGGTGTTTGGCCAAAATTGAATATATTATTATTTTTTTTCTAATATTTATATTGTATTATTTTCAGTGAGTCTTCATGAACGACAATGAAGCGTTTCATCAACCGCGAAAGGTAACCTGAGGGTATCAAGATCGCGCGCACCGCCCTCGAACGTCCAAACAGAAAAAATACCAAGAAGAATAGGAAGAATACGAAGGAGGTGGAGGCGGAAAAAAACACGGCAACATCGCCCTACGAACGACAATTGAACTATCATCATCTTTTCCGCACGAAAAAGGACCAAAAAGAAAAGGCTCGACTCTTCGCTTCGAAATCTTCCGCGCGCGCGTGTATCGGCCTCTTGCCTCGAACGCGTTCGGTCAACTAACGAGGAAAAATCGTCCGATCGAGTGCGCGTGCGCGCGTGCATGTTGGCGTACTAGCGTCCAATGGACAAGAGAAAAATGATGCCAAAAAGGCCTAGGTTCGAGCCGCGCGGTCCCATATCGAACGGGCCGATGCAATCGCGACCGTTGGTCGCCCTGTTGGACGGGCGCGATTGCTCGATCGAAATGCCCATACTGAAGGACGTCGCGACGGTGGCGTTCTGCGACGCCCAAAGCACCAGCGAGATACACGAAAAGGTGCTGAACGAGGCCGTGGGCGCCCTCATGTGGCACACGATCATATTGACCAAGGAGGACCTGGAGAAGTTCAAAACGTTGAGGATCATCGTGCGTATCGGCAGTGGCGTGGACAACATTGACGTGAAGGCGGCAGGTGAATTGGGTATAGCGGTGTGCAATGTGCCGGGTTACGGTGTCGAAGAAGTGGCCGATACGACGATGTGTTTGATATTGAACCTCTACAGGCGGACCTATTGGTTGGCCAATATGGTCAGGGACGGCAAGAAGTTCACGGGACCCGAACAGGTACACGTTACTCGAGGTTATATACTCTAATTTAAGTTCACGGGACCCCGAACAGGTACATATTACTTGAGCTTATGCTCTAATTTAAGTTCACGGGACCCCGAACAGGTACAGGCTACTCAAAAGCTTATGCTCTAAATGCCAAAATAGTAGGCGTTAAATTCTGCGGAAATGATTGGGATAATGGGATCTCTCCCGGTGGCGTACGGAAGATATAATCGTAGGCTACAAGTTTTTAGAATCAAATTAAAAGAGCAAGGTTTATGTAATAAATAAGTGAAGCGATAATATTTGCGAGAATTTAGTGCATACTATTTTGGAAATGGAGTATAGAACCATTTAGAATTTTCCAGGCTCATTTAGAATCGTTAAAAAACTGTATATAACAATTTAGAACGCTCCAGAATCGTACAGAACTGTCTAGAACCGTTTAGAACACTCCAGAACGCTCCAGATTAATTTAGAACTGTCTAGAACCGTTTAGAACACTCCAGAACGCTCCGGAATAGTTTAAAACTGTATAGAACTAAACTGCTCCGCAAAAGTTCGCAAATTTTGCGATTATTTTAAAAGTTACAAAGTTTTTGATCACCAAATTTTCAAATATGCGAAATTAAATGTTTTTTTCTCGTATCTGAGTGGATTTTTTGCTCCTACCTCTATAATTTATACTAAATTTGGCGATCAAAAAACCTGCAACTTTTAAATTAATCTCAATATTTGTCAACTTCCTTAACTTTTGTGGAACAGTATATTTAGAACGCTCCGGAATCATTCAAAATTGTTTAGAACCATTTAGAACTCTCTTTAGACTCATTTAGAATGCTCCAGGTTCATTTAAAACTGTCTAGAGCAATTTAGAACGCTCCAGAATCATTTAGAACCCTCCAGAATCATTCAGAACTATCTAGCTAGAACCATTTAGAACTCTCCGGACTCATTTAGAATGCTCCAGATTCATTTAAAACTGCCTAGAACGATTGAGAACGCTCCAGAACTATTTAGAACTCTCCGGACTCATTTAGAACGCTCCAGATTCATTTAAAACTGCCTAGAACGATCGAGAACGCTCCAGATTCATTTAAAACTGCCTAGAACGATCGAGAACGCTCCAGATTCATTTAAAACTGCCTAGAACGATCGAGAACGCTCCAGATTCATTTAAAACTGCCTAGAACGATCGAGAACGCTCCGGAATCATTTAAAACTATCTAGCTAGAACCATTCAGAACTCCCCGGACTCGTGTAGAAAAGCTCCCGAATCATTTATTTAATATGCAAAACCTTCTTGACCATATATGTATTAATAATAACGATTTATTTATTTTTTTTTTGTATAAAGGTGAGGGAGGCGGCGGCCGGTTGCGCCCGGATACGCGGCGACACGTTGGGCATCGTCGGTTTGGGCCGCATCGGTTCGGCGGTGGCGTTGCGCGCCAAGGCGTTCGGTTTCAACGTGATCTTCTACGATCCCTATTTGCCCGACGGCATCGAGAAGAGCTTGGGCCTGACGCGCGTCTACACGTTGCAGGATTTGCTCTTCCAATCGGATTGCGTGTCGTTGCATTGTACGCTCAACGAGCACAATCACCATTTGATCAACGAGTTCACCATCAAGCAGATGAGGCCCGGCGCCTTTTTAGTTAATACAGGTACGAACAGTTTGCGTAAAATAAGTTGAATACTGTGTTATTATACATGTCGTACGAACTGATCCGCTGCAAGCATTAGAATTAGAATCTCAATCAATACTATAAGATAGTAAAGAAAAGAAACTTGTTTATCGGTTGCCGGCCGATATTAGAATTCGTCAATTCGCTTCGCTTCGTCCACTAGCGAATAGCGGGGATAGCGGGCGTGATTATTTTGTATGCTCTCTTTATTCCTTACATAGCAAAAGTTCAATTAGCTATCTCATTATTCTCATTGTATGCTTGCAGCGGATCAGTTCGTACGACCTGTATAGTAGAATACTGTGTTATTACATAGTAGAATACTTTGTTATTACATAGTAGAATACTCTCGATACTTGTTTCTTCGATACTATTCCCGGTTTGTTCTACTCGTTAGTAACGTAATGGTTGTTGCCTAACTAGTTAGAATAAGCAACGTTGCCATATGTTTAATTTAACGTTGCCAATGTGACGATTTGAGGATTTTATTTGTACTTTTAAACCTACATATTCACTATATGTATTCACTATGATTGTTATTGTACTTTTAAACCTATGTATTCACTCTAATTGTCGTTGTTGTAGCTCGCTTGAGTATTTATTTGTACTTAAATTCTTTGCCGGCTAAAATCCAGTCTACCAGTATACATTTCAATAGAACGTCGCGATGAATTCTAATAAATTTAATTGTTCTACTGGATCGCACGCCGCGATTTGTAGAGGTACAAAGTTATTTGTGTTAGGTATGAGGTACAAAATTATTTAGAAACTACAATTAATAGGTTTTTTGGGGATATTTCAAAAAAATGTGTGTATCGGTAGGTACAGTTTTGAAAGAGCAACAAATCTTGTTAAAATAAGGAAAAATAAGGAAAAATAATTCATTTTTCTGCTAAAATTACACCTCAGCTCAGTAATATGAGATGACATCTGTATGACAGGTTTGCCTATAGTTTAGCAGAAAGCGGTGGACTATTTTTTAGAGTTCTTTTATTTTCTGTTTTAAAATAATCTTTAAGTTTATTTTTGGAGTTTTCTTTTTATTATTTTCTTAGAATTTACTTTCTTTTTCAAGCCATTGTGGCAAAAAGACATATCTACATAATTCTATTTTAATATTAGTGATATTTTTTCAATAAATTATCGTTTAAAAATTTTCATTTCTTTGTAATCGACTCGACGTTCACCCATCCGAACCCGTTTTGATACTGTCGAAGTGTCGAAACCGTCGAAATTATTTGATTTTTAATCTAACCAAGCCAAAGCGCGGTGTGAAGTCCAGTAGAACAATTAAATTTATTAGAATTTATCGCGACATTCTATTGAAATGTATACTGGTAAATTGGATTTCAGCCGGCTAAGAATTTAACAACGATTTCCCTATTATGCGCGAATACTTTTCTAACACTGTATGTATTCACTGTTGATTTGTTGTCGTTGTTGTTGTAGCTCGCGGAGGGCTGGTGGACGACGACGCGCTGGCGCAGGCCCTGAAACAGGGCCGTATTAGGGCGGCGGCGTTGGACGTGCACGAAAACGAGCCGTACAACGTGTTCACGGGCCCGTTGAAGGAGTGCCCTAATCTGTTGTGTACGCCGCACGCGGCCTTCTACAGCGACGCCTCGGCCACCGAGCTGCGCGAAATGGCCGCCTCCGAGATCAGGCGGGCCATCATGGGCAGGATACCGGAATGCCTGAGGAATTGCGTCAACAAGGAGTACTTTATGGGGCCCGGCGCTTACCCAGAAGGTACAGGTAATTATACCAGCGGTACGTTTGATTTGACCGAATGGATTTCGTTCGATTTTTTTCTTTTTTTTTTGTTATACTGGTTGCGTTCCTAAACATCGTGTACATCCGAAAGAGGGTCTGTTGTGATTCGTTGGCTTATTTTATGACTAAAACAATTTCCTGTACAAATGATTTACTTTACAAAACAACAACCCTACTAATAATTAAATTAAATTATAACAAATGTTGAAAGTGACCCCCTCCTACTCAAATTACACTCTATACCCTATATCCTATGCCTAATTTGAGCTAAATATCTCAAAAACTACAAGAGCTCTAAAAAAGAAGCAAAAAAACTTGAAATTTCAACACCCTTTAGATGTTTATATGAACTTGTAGTCATAAAATAAGCCAAGGAATCATTCTCTTTCGGATGTACACGATGTTTAGGAACCCCCTGTATATTTATTATTACATACTCGTACGTTAATCATACTGTACTTACTTGGCATACTTGTTTTTTTGTTTTCTGGGTGGCGTTTTATTGGCTGGATACCTTATACGTAGAGGTCATCATCAATCATCATCAAAAATATCTTCATAATCTATGTTAATTTGTTCAATTTCCATCACAAGTAAATAATATCTGATGATTAATAATATGCAATAAACAGAAAATAAACAATAAAACTCGGTAACCTTAAAATTTCTTTTTTTTTCACAGAATACCGAGAATACTGAGAACTTATATCCTAAATTTTGTGTTCTGTGGTCTTCTTTTTTTTCTCAAATGACTAGTGTAACCAACATTAGATATTCCAAATAAAAACCCCCAAAAAGTTATAGATTAACTAAACTCTTCACTTTTATAATATGGTGCAACATTAATAAACTTAATCGAAGTTTAAAATTAAACGCTAGTTTATTTAACTTTCGTTTAGTTCCAATTTGGCGCAAAACCCCGTTTTTAACGACTAAAAAATACAGATTATTAAGTGCAATATGGTGATGGTATAAGTACCTTACAAATTATACGAGGGTAAGGTGAAAAGTACAAAAAAAAACCGGTTCACCTCACCCTCGTATAACAATCTGCAATAATAATTCGTACAAATTACTCTAATGTTTTCCGTTTTTTTTTTAATTTGTTACAGTATCGCCCGCCGGCGTGAACGGCGGTTATTATCAGGGCGGAGCGCTACCCGTGCAACAGGCGCACTCGACGACGCCGCACGATTCGTCGCTGACGGTGACGCCGAGCGCCGCGGCGCCGCCGACGCCGCAACCGGCGCCACCAGTCGGGCCGGTTCCCGTGCCACCTCATGCGATTGTAAGTCTTGCCCAGTCGACTTGGCAACGTCGCTCGCGCTAACGTGGCGTCACGCCGAAGGTCCGCCTATGTTAAGTAACGGGCGACGTTGCCGGGTGTATTTTTTTATTCGGTTTGTTGGGGATTTTTTTTATTCTGATGAGACTTGGCAACGCGGCTCGCATTACAGTTTAGAACAATTGAGAATGCTCCAGAATCATTCAGGACTGCTTAGAACGATTTAGAATTCTCCAGGCTCATTTAGAATCATTAAAAACTGTATATAACAATTTAGAACGCTCCAGATTCATTTAGAACTGCCTAGGACCATTTAGAACACTCCAGAACGCTCCAGAATAGTTTAAAACTGTATAGAACTAAACTGCTACACAAAAGTTCGCAAATTTTGCGATTATTTTGAAAGTTACAAAGTTTTTGATCACCAAATTTTCAAATATGCGAAATTAAATGTTTTTCTCTCGTATCTGAGTGGATTTTTTGCTCCTACCTCTATAATTTATAATAAATTTGGCGATCAAAAAATCTGCAACTTTTAAATTAATCTCAATATTTGTCAACTTCCTTAACTTTTGTGGAGCAGCATATTTAGAACGTAAAGAATCATTCAGAACTGTTTAGAACCATTCAGAATTCTTCAGACTCATTTAGAACGCTCCAGAATCATTCAGAACTGTCTAGCTAGAACCATTTAGAACTCTCCGGACTCATTTACAACGCTCCAGAATCATTTGAAACTGTTCAGAACAACTGATAACGCTCCAGAATCATTCAGAACTGTCTAGCTAGAACCATTCAGAAGTGTTCAGAACCATTTAGAACTCTCTTGACTCGTTTAGAAAGCATATTTTTTTATTCGGTTTGTCGGGGATTTTTTCCAACGAGACTTGGCAACGTCGCTCGCGCTAACGTGGCGTCACGCCGACGGCGCGCCTATGTTAAGCAACGGGCGACGTTGCCGCGCGTATTTTTTGATTCGGTTCGTTGGGGATTTTTTTTTTTCTAATAGATGTTTTGTTGTAGCCGATGAGCACTCCAGATCCAGCGAATCACCACGCGCCGAAACCGGAGCCTTCGGAAGTCCATTAACACAACGGTGTCTCAACAACGCAAGCCAGATAAAAATGTTTTCTTGACGGGCGATGTACTGGTAGAGAATGTGTGTGGAAAGTTGCTGCATGTTGAATCACATAATCTCTCGGATTTTATGATTTTCTCTTTTTTCGTTTTTGTTCTTTTTTTTCCGAAAAAGATGCTACACAAATTGGGTTTTTTTTTTGAGATGATACATATCGTATAGGGGAAAAAAAACCGGAAAGAGGAATTTACTTTCTACATCACAAGCCTTATAATAATTACAATTTAAAAGGAAAAAAACTTTGAAATTGCGGAAACTTTTATTATTATTTTTTTTTTCTGACTCAATCTGAAAGCTTTGATGTTGATTTTATATGTGATTTTATTTCGTAATGTTTTCGTTCTAGCGAGAATCAAAAAAAAAGTTTTGTGTATATTAAGCGTTTTATCTGGATATTTCTTTTTGAATTAATATTGTGATTTAGTAGTTTTAGTTTTCAGATGAGTCATATAGTGTGTATATATATATGTAACAGGGTGAGTCGACTTTGGAGGGGCAAATTTATGTGATTTGACGGTACTTGTAATCAAAATAACAAAAAACAAATCGAAGGATTATCAAGATTCAAAGACTGAATTGAATTCTATTGTATAGAGATCTGCATTAATCATATACTTTGCATTAAATGAAGAGATATTATTTGTTTATATTTTGTGCGAGCGTGTAAAACTAAATACTTTACTTAATAACTAAATTGATTCTAGCTATTAAGCAAAGTATAAAATGTCGCCGATTGAATAAAACAAAAACAATCCAAACCGTTGACTCTACCTGTTTATTGTATAAAAATAAAAATTGCACGGATTTTAATTTCGTTCCGATTCCATAATAGATTCAGCTTAGCATTGTAAATTTAGTACAGGGAAAAACGTTTTACTTTTCTATAATACTTTCTCTTCGCTTGCATTTTTTGTAATTAAATTTTCTTTTTATGTTAGTATTATCGTTAAAATGGCGCGAGAATGGACGGACAGCGAAACCTAATTTTTTTTTCTCGGATCCTTCCCAAAGGGCAGCCTAAACACAGTTCAAAATACACAATTTTTTTGTTGCACAGAGAAAAGTTGTTCGCCCATTCTCGGTTTTCAATAAACTGTATTCGGGTTATGCGTAATGCAGATCGTAAATAATCACATTCATCTACTATGTTTTTTCTTTTTTTTTGTTTTTAATTTTTATGTTTCGAGTCTTTTTTTCTTTGTAATACTAAGTGCATTAAATAAGTTCAGAGGAAAGCTATAAACTGCGGTATTTTTTACGAGGATTATTATATTTTTAAGTTAAGGAATTGTCGAGGTCAGCCCTCAATGGTAAAAATTGTTCATTTCGGAACGAGAGACAATGTATGTTGTTTTACATTGTTTTCTGTTGGTGGTTTCTTTTGAGAAATTCGCTTCCGAAGTAGTTTTTCGATATTTGAGGGTCTGTATACGTGTACATTATCGGTTATTTAAGAAAAATGCTGCAATGTTGTATGAATGGTAAATAGCCCAAGAATATTTACGTTAAGACATTTTTTAGAAAAAAAAATATACTATAAATTATATGAGAGGAAAAGTATAAGCTGATATGAGACATTGTTAAAGTAAAAAAAAACCAACCAGTGAAAGATGGTAAATAAAAAAGTGGACTTAAATTAAAAAAAAACGTTTTTGTTGAGGTGAAGAGTGCGAAATGAATAAATTTCATATTTGTAGAATATTAGTGATATTTGTGACTAATTTCAGTAACATACAAACTGCTTTTATTTTATTGCGTATTTTTGTTTGCAGTAACTCCTGTTATCGCTAGTTTTTTTTTGTTGTGACTTACAGCGAGACATTCCACGTATCCGTTAAAATGACAAAAAAAATGTACCGGCAGCGTACCGTAAATTCCATTTTCGGAAAATGTTTTTTCGTGAAATTTACGGGAAGTTGCCCGTCCAAAAACGTGACGGTCACAGTTGTGGTGTACTATTTGCTCATTATATTTTTATAAAAAATTGATAAAAAAAAATGTTCAAAATAATATTCGTATAAATGGTAGAAAATGGTTCACCGACTGCAAATTAGATTTTGTAAGAACGAAAGTACGCAATGACAATTTTTATGAATCACAATAGTACAGCATGTAAAAAGAAATTTGTAGGGCTATTGGACTTCCACAAAATTTTCAAATAAATATCTTAAAACTCGCATTGTCGTTTTAATTATGTACTGCATACCCAGATTCTTACTCATTCCGAAATAGTATTAGTAATTGAAAAAATAAATCATAGTTATTAAATGAATTATAACCTCTTAGCGATATTGCTAATCACAATACTGCATAGTAGAAATATATGATTTTATTTATATAATTAACATGTAATTAAAATGTACAGCGTTATATTATATGTAACAGTTAACAATTTATGTACATTTTAAACCTAAAATAAAGCTTTTTTTTAAATATTTTGATAGAATATTCCAATAAGATACCTATGCTGCATGAAAACATTGTTGGATTGAAAGTGCTATTCGATTAATAATAAAAATAATACATAAAGTTAAGTAAATTGATATAAATACTATCAGCGACTAAAAATAAAATATAAATCATAATTATCTATACAAAAAAAGACATTTGTTTTCAATAAAAGTACGTTTCAATTACACACACATTTAAAATCACAGAGAGTTAATTAATTTTGATAAACTAAAACAAAAAACAAATCGATACAATATCGCCAGAGTACAACAAATTACCGTTCCAATAAAAAAAATCTCCAATTAACGTTGTAATTATTGTCCGTAGTCTCGTCGTTTCATCTCATCATTTAATTAAATTCTTACACGTTCAAAATCCGAAAAACCAACTCCAATATGACGGAACTCTCGCCCAAATTATTCGACGTGATCCTGTGCAAAACGGGAATCAGCTCGTTATCTAAACTCTTCATATAAATCGGCGGCAACTTCGTATTGTTACTACCGGCGCAATAAGACACCTAAAATTATTAAAAAAAAAAGTTAAAATAAAATATTTCAAATACTTTAACTCTTCTCTCAATCTACTCCACTCTGAATTTACTAAACCCTGAACTTACTCTGAACTTACTTTCTCTACTCTGAATTTACTTTACTTGATTCTACTCTGCCCTGAACCTACTCTTTCCTCAATATACTTTACTCATCACTGAATCTACTCTGTTCTACCTACTCTATCCTCAATCTACTTTAGTCTACTCTGAATCTACTCCATTCTAAATCTAGTCTAGTCTAAAGCTACTTTACTTATAACTACTCTATCCTCAATCTACTTTAGTCTACTCTGAATCTACTCCACTCTGAATCTACTGTACTCTACATGAATCTACTTTAGTCTACTCTGAATCTACTCCACTCTGAATCTACTCTAGTCTAAATCTACTTTACTCTACTTAAAACTAGTCCACTCTGAATCTACTGTAATCTACATGAATCTACTTGATTCTTCTCCGAATCTACTATAGTCTAAATCTACTTACTTTGCTCTTCTCCGAACATTCTCTACACTGAATCTTATCTGAACTTTATCCTCAACCCTACTTTACCCATCTCAGAATCTACTCCGAATCTACTTTACTCTATTCTACAAACGACAATACACCCCAATACAACCGATCTCCGACCCTTCCGTTTTACAACCACCAATCGCCCCGCGGTTCTACAGCCACACACACACACACACACAACACAAAATTCTCGCTAATCGACTTACGCTATCCGCGTGCAACGTCGTCCTGACGCCGATCTTCTGGAAATTATTCGTCACCAACAGATCCAAATAGTTCAACAGCGCGTCGCAGGTGGCCTTCGCTATGCCTTCGGACACCTTCGACACGTCCAACGGTTGGTCCTGGTGGTTCTTGGGCGGCGGCGCCGCCGTCGCCTCGCCGCCGCCGCCGCCGCCGTCCTCTATGATAAACACCTCCGTCCATCTGATGATCCGGTTGCCGTTGGCGCCGTAGTGGTTCTTGCCGTTGTGCACTCGAATCGATGGTACGCCGCTCAGGCTCGTCCCGTCGATCGAAGATGTCACCCTAAATAATCGATAAAAAATTTATATAAATGAATGAATAAATAAATAAAACGTTACGGTTTGGAAGCGCCGAGGGAGGGATAGAAGGACGAGGGAGAGGTAGGTGGACGGTAAAAGCGGGTAGAAGGAGGGTAGGGAGAGGATGAAGGGGAGTAGAAGAGGGAGGAAAAAGTTCGCGAGGCTAGAAGTGGGTAAGTAGAGGTAGAAGGATGCACTGGAACTGTTTAGAATAGTGTTCGAATTCTTCAGAACTGCTCGGAACGGTTTAGACCACTTCAGAACTGTTCTGAACCATTTTAAACGCTTAAGCATGTTCTAGAATTGTTCAGTACACTTTCAGAACGCTTCAGAACTGTACAGAACAATTTTAGAACGCCTCAAGATAAACTAGAATTGTTTAGAATAGCGTTAAAATTTTTCAGAACTACTCATTACAGTTTAGACCACTTCAGAACTGTTCTGAACCATTTGAAACGCTTCGGGGTGTACTAGAATTGTTCGGAAAACTTTCAGAACGCTTCGGAACTCTACAGAACAATTTCAGAACGCTTCAAGATGAACTAGAACTGTTTATAATAGCGTTCGAATTTTTCAGAAATGTTCAAAACAGCTTTAGGCCACTTCAAAACTATTCTGAACCATTTTGAACGCTTCAGGACGTACTAGAATTGTTAAAAACACATTCACAATGCTTCAGAATTTTACAGAACAATTTTTAACACTCCAGGATGAATTAGAACTGTTTAGAATAGTGTTTGAATATTTCAAAACAGTTAAGATCATTTCAGAACTGTCTTGAACCATTTTAAACGCTCCAGCATGTACTAGAATTGTCCAGAACACTTTTAGATCGTTCAGAACACTTTTATAATGCGTCGAAACCATACAGAACAATTTCAGAACGCTCCGCGATGATCTAGAACTGTTTAGAACAATATTTCCAACCCTCCAAGACGAACTGGAAGTGACGGTAGAAAGCCGGTTATAAAAATGGCTAGAACGGCTAGAACTGCTATCAGAACGATCGCTAGAGGAGCAAAGAGATGGAAGCGATCTAGTAGATAAATAACCGAAAAAAAAAAACACGAAAAAAATAACCGACCCGATATTGAAATTGGCATCGTTCTCGCCCCAAACGATGTTCACCGTTTCGTCGGTATCGGCGTCGACGCAACCGCACCGGATCGCGTGGTTTTTCATCGATCTGAGCCGATCGCGGATGCGTTGCATGTGCTCGGGGGGCACCTGGATCATCAGACCGTCTTCGACGATGTTCGATTTGGCCGTCAGGCCGCTCGACGATTTCAAGGCGCCGTTGAAGACGATGAAACTGGCCCCCGTCACTTTTCTCGGTCGATTCTGTATGTTGATGGCGTGCGTCGAATAGCAATTCTCCAGGCCCTGGGTGTCCTGGATGCACACCAAGTGCGAGTCCGCCTCTTGGCTGAAACAGCCGCCGAACGCCAGGATGTGATCGCTCGAATTGTTCAACGATTTGATTATCTGATAGAAATTTAGGATACGTTATATGGTTGTTGAGAAAACACCCTGTATACAAGGTGTTGATTCATTGAGTGGCGATACTTCAGGATGTTGGGGGATGTTTGGGTGATTTAAAGAAGGAAAGTTTATATCAATGTATGTCCTGAACCTCTTAGTTTTCTAGTTACAGGGTGTTCTGAGATGGTGTTAACTGTTCTGAAGAGTTCAAACGCTATTCTAAACTGTTCTAGTTCATTCCGGAGCGTTTAAAATTGTTCTGTATAGTTCTGAACAGTTCAAAAAAGTGCTCTGAACAATTCTAGTACATCCTGAAGCGTTCAAAATGGTTCAAAACAGTTCTGAAATGGCCTTAACTGTTTTGAAATGTTCAAACACTATTCTAACGAAGTAGTAAGATAGTAAATGTTCAAACACTATTCTAACCCTGTAGTAAGAGGTTTAGGACATACATTGATAAAAACTTTTCTTCTTAAAATCATCCAAATATTCACTTCTCGAAATATCGCCACTCAATTAATTAACGCCCTGTATATATAGTAACGTTTACCTGATCGTATCTGTTAATAGGAATGGTCATGGTGGTGTTTTTGTCCTCCATGTGTATGGTTAAACCGTTAATTTGCGGAAGGGTGTAGGAAAAATTGCGAAAATCCGCCAATAAATTGATAATCGTATGACCGATTTCCACGAATACGCTATCCCTATGCCTGGTCGATAATATCGGACTGGGATAATACCTACAAAAAAAAAATCAAATTAATTAAAATAACAAAGAATCTTAATAGAAACTCGACAGATAACGGCAAGAATAGAATGCTTTTCAATTCGACAGATGACAGCAAAATTAGACAGTTTTTCAATTCGACAGATTTGACAGCTGACAGCGAATTAAATGACTCCATTGTTTTGTACCTGTATTCGGCGCCCAATCTGAGGACCAATCGCAACGGGAACAATTTCGCCCAGGGCGTCTCCCATCGGTGTATTAAAATTCCTATGAGGAAGGGCTCCTTCGGTCTGATGATGTTCTCCAAACACTGAAACGTCGATCGGATGTAGACGAAGCCGGCGTGGTTTTTCGAATCCAAAAAATTCGAACAATTATGCAACGATATGCTCAATTCCTTTATCGAAGTACCTGCGCAAATTCCGATCGCTTATTAACCGAATAACGAACGAGTAAAAGGGCCGACTGTACAGGGTGTCGCAAAAAAAAGAGGAATGTTTCAGAACTACATAGAATTGTACAGAAGCATTTTGAACGCTCCAGAACTGCTTAGAATAGTGTTGGAACTCTTCAGAATTGCTCGGAACAGTTTAGACCACTTCAGAACTGTTCAGAACGCTTCTGGATGAAATAGACTCGTTGAAAACACTTTCAGTACGATTCAGAACTGTTCAGGATAGTTAAGATTACTTCAGAACTGTCTAAAGTGCTTTTGAGCGCTTCTGGATGACCTAAAAAATTGTTCAGAACTGTCTAAAGCACTTTTGAGCGCTTCTGGATGACCTAAAAAATTGTTCAGAACAATTTTGAACGCTCCAGAACTGATTAGAATAGCGTTTAAACTCTTCAGAATTGCTCAGCATAGTTAAAATCACTTCAGAATTGTTCTGAACCATTGTGAACTCTTCAGGATGAACTGGAACTGTTTAGTATAGTGTGTTTTTAACTTTTCAGAATTGTTCGAAACAGTTTAAACCACTTCCGAACTGTTCTGGACCATTTCGAACGCTTCAGGATGTACTAGAATTGTTCAAAACACATTCAGAATGCTTCAGCACTCTACAGTAACAATATTGAACACTCCATGATGAACTAGAACTGTTTAGAATAGTGATCGAACTCTTCAGAACAGTTAGAACCATTTCAGAACTGTTTTGAACCATTTTGAACGCTCCGAAAGTCCATCGTACAAACAGAGAACAATCCCCTATTCGCGACACACCCCGTATACCATTTTCGCCCGGATCACCCTGTATACCTTTAACGGCGTCGGCGTAAATGCTATTGACGTGATAGAATATATCCTTAGGAACTGTAGATTCGCCATCGATGAATTCCAACACGTAGACCAACTCGTCCTGGCCGACGTTGATCAATCCTTCGGTGGAGAAACACCAGGCGGTTTTTTTGATGCAACAATCCATCTCGATGATTTTCACGTGCACGTACAGATTCAACAAGATCGAAAAGGTCAGTTGTTTGGTCTTCAACAGCTCCACCGTCGCCGAGTTGTTGGCGCAATCCGCGTAGGCCACGTCTGGAAATGAGGAAATTATTAAGAAAACGGCGGCGATTTATAATCTATTTAAAAATTAAACGATTAAGCGCGTTCTAGAATTGTTCAGAACACTTTTAGAACGCTTCGGAACTCTGCAGAACTATTTTAGAACGGTTCAAGATGAACTAGAATAGCGTTAAAATTCTTCGGAATTATTCATTACAGTTTGGACCGCTTCAGAACTGTTCTGAACCATTTTAAACGCTTAAGCATGTTCTAGAATTGTTCAGAACACTTTCAGAACGCTTCAGAACTCTACAGAACAATTTTAGAACGCTTCAAGATGAACTAAAACTGTTTAGAATAGCGTTAAAATTCTTCAGAACTACTCATTACAGTTTAGACCACTTCAGAATTGTTCTGAACCATTTTAAACGCTTAAGCATGTACTTGAATTGTCAAAATGCTCCTCCTAGTTTTTAAATATCCTACCCTCTCCTACAGCAAGATATACTACATTAAGCTTGTCCATAACATACTATACCACCCTGTATAATGTTCTATATACAGGGTATTTCTAAAATAAGTGGTCAAACATTGCTAACGAGTAGAGAACCGTCATTTATGTATTAATGTATTTACTAGCGGAATTTACCCGTACCGTTTTTCGTTATAGTTATCGAAGGGGGCAAATTGTTCTCGTTCTTCGGTATAAACGAATTCGTCTCGGAATCGATCAACGGCAAATTCCTGTTGATCTTCCCCGCCGACGCCTGCGTGCTGGTCTTCTCCAATTTCTTCGTTTTCGTATTGTTGTAATTGAAATCGTTATCTAAATTCGTCAGATCCGAACCGGGCCGGATGCCGTCGCAAAACATCACGCTCTTATTCGACTTCGATTTGTTACTACCTAAAACAATAACGAAAAAACTATTAACTATTATCATCAACGATAATCGATAAACAAAAAAACCGTTACGTTACGTTACGTTACCATCCAATCCAGTAACTCCCATCTCTACTTTAAAACGCAACGACAGCTACAACACCAATCGCAGCGCTCTACGATTCGTGACGTCACGAAACGAGAACTATTAGAGATGGGATTCTACAAAAAAAAAAAAAACCAGTTACCTTTGCGTTTGAGCACGCCGACGGGCACCATGACGGGCGGCAGCGGTACCGAAGCGGTACCGCCGACCTGTTGCAACGGCGACACCGTCGAACAGTACTCCGACGGATTGTTGGGATTCGGCCGGCGCACGGGCGACGAATCGCCGGCCTCCTGCGATTGATCCGAATGATCCGAACCCGCCCCCGACGCCGCCTCTCTATTCAAAATATCGTGGCATTTGTTGCAGATCCTCGCCTCGGCGTCGAGGTACTCCAATTTGAATCGTACGTGACAGCATTTCGAACACAACACCTACAAAAATACAACGAAATGAAGCCTTCCGTATGAGGTTATACGGCCACAAGTAGCTTACCAGACCGCAGGCCCTGCAATGGTGGCGTCGCTTCAACACCGTAAACTTCATATCGCATTGCAAACAACTGGTCGTATCCGAATCCGGTATCCACAACGGAGCCTCTTTCCCCAACCACAGCCTATCAGCACCCCCTTCAGCGCCTGCGCTATGCCTACAAACACACCAATTAACACACAAACAACCATCAAACACCCCCAATTACACACCCGCTAGACGCTTCGATCGCTCGTAACCCATCGTCTCCGGCGCCGGAGGCCTCCCGGGGCGCCGGCGGATGCTCGTCGCGCATCTCCTCGGTCGAGGCCGTCGAGCCCGTCGAAGCGGTATCGGAGAACGACGACGTCGATTCGTCGTCGTCGACGTCGCGACGCTTCATCTCGTCGGCCACGTAGACGTTGTTGTAGGGCGTCGAACCGGGCGCGCCGATCAGATCGATCTCGCGCTGATCGGGGGGCCCCTTGATCGGCAGGTCTTCGGGTCGCGTCGACGATCGGGCGGCTTCGGCTTCGTCGGGGACGTCGGGTTTAGGCGCTTCTTCGGTGGCGTTAATTGTCGCTTCGAGTTCTGGTACTTCTTCGGCGATGGGGATTGTCGCTTCGGGTTCGGGTACTTCTTCGGTGATGGGGATTGTCGCTTCGGGTTTGGGTACTTCTTCGGTGATGGGGATTGTTGATGGTTTGGGTACTTCTTGGGGGATTTCGGTGGGTTCGGGGACGCCGATGGCTTCCTCGTAATCATCGGAATCTTCGCTGGCGTTGTCTTCGATTACTGCGGATTGTGTGGCTGTAGATCCTTCTGTGTTAATTGGTTCTTCATTGTTCGAAACTACTAATTGTATACCAGTAGTATTTTCTTCGATTGTGGTGGTTGTAGATTCTTCTGTATGTACCGTTAGATGCTCATCTAAAATATATAACGTTGAATATACGCATTAAATTAGCTATTGATTACCAAACCTTTGGATTCGATTGTAGATTCAGATTCTTCTTCCATTACCTTACAATCCTCTTTATTTGTACCTAAATTATTCGATTTATCCTCTTCTTTATCGTTCGATAACAATTCCTCATCATTCTCCAACTCAGCGAGAAGGTCTTGTACTTCTTCGTCGTTCAGCTCTTCGATCTCTCGGAAACCTACCACACCTTCGTCGGTGTCCTTCGCTATCGTTTCCTCGCTATCGTTCTTCTCTAACCGAACAATTTCATCGCTTTCTCGCTTATTTACCTCCGCATCGACTTCTAATTCCACTAAAACGTTAATTGACTGTTTCGCATCTCTCGATCCATCAGTACTCGACTCGAACCCGTTCTCTGTACATTCTATTTCTACGTTACCAGTTAAACCGTCTCGTACATCGGAATCCTCATCACCATTGCATTCTTCTTGTACAACACCATCGTTTTCTATCACCGGCTCTCCGGCATCGCAGTCTTTTCGTTCCTCTGTAATCTCATCGTTGGGATCGCTCGGGGGCGTCCGGCCTTCGACTGGGACTCGCTCCGGCTCGGGCAGGTCTACGCCGGTGTTCAGGTACTCGTTCAAGCTGTGGAAAACGTTGTTGATCGAGTGCTTGGTGAGGGCGGCCGGGGGGCGGTCGGGGGCGCCGGGAGGCTCCGTTCGGGGCCGGGTGACGTTGTGCTGCTCGGTCAGTTCGCTGTATTCGAAGTCGTTCAGCACTTGGTCCAAATCTACGGCGAATTTATCCATCTGAAACGTCGGGATAAGGGGTTTAGTGGTTTAGCGTTTAATCTAGGCGGCTGGGTGCTCGACGTGTGAAGTAACGAGCGATGTAATGTTGACTAGTAATGGAGTAGTATAGGCGAGTTACCTTGGTAAATGCGTTAAAAACGATCGTTTCATTTGTATAAATTGGTAATTAGCGATAAACTCCGTTTTTGATTCGACAAATTGACATATTTAATAAGTGTTTATGACGTACCGATAACAATGACGTTTTTTGACGTTGACATTAGTGACACTTGTCGGCGGAGAATCAAGGAATGCATAAATACCAAGGATAGCTCAATAAAACGTCATTTTTTTTACAATTCAAATTTATGCTAAATAATATCGTTTAAAAATGAAAAACAATATTTGAATTCGAGTGGATGAATACAGATAATTCTAGTCACGATTGAAACTTTGAACAAGATGTAGATGCAAAATTGTTTGTAATATAGGCCGCGGGTGCAACAAAGACAACTTCTATTGTCCTTCCATATACCTGTCATGTGAAGGTAAAAGAAAGAGCGATGGTTTGGGGGAATTGTCTCACGAAAAGCGATCTAAATTATCCAGTATTGTGTTCTGAATACGGAGGGACGGACACCTTGATTTTACATCAATTTGTACTGAGGCCTCAAACGAATGAGAAGAAGATTGTGTATCCTCTACATATGTTGCATACAGCTACACTACGAATTTCAAAATTACCGAACATCGTATCTCAATACATTACAGGAATACCAGTTTTTTGGTGAAAGAACCGTTTGCATAGTATAGTATCATTCATTTTTAGTCATTTTTACACTAACAGTAAACGACAAAATGACAGTTTGACGTGTACGTCACTTTTTTCAATCGAAATTGACAACTCTACGAGCGGACGATTCGATTTGTTACGATCCTGTTACAATTAAAATGATTTTTTTTTTAACGAGCGTTTCCGTCCGTTTTTTACGACCTTTTTCCCCGTCCTCCGGGGACGGGAAAAACAATCGCCAGAAATTCATCGGGTTCGATTTTCCCATGTAAGTAATACGAGTATAATTCCGAATGTCCTTCGAATTCTTTCTTATCCTGTTTCAGTTTCTGGACCGTGTGGAATAATAACGAAAGTTTACGACCTCCGGTCAATCCGGCCCCGAAAAACAATACTCCGGTTGGTATCTCGACAATGTAAATACTCGGCGTATTCGGTAAGTACATAATACGTATGGTATATCGAAAATAAAAATTTTATCAGTCCGATTCGAATGGGAGAAGTTGAAAAGAATATCAAAATTTATGTTGTTTTCGGATTTATCTCATTTTCGACCCCTATTAGACCGTCTGGAATATACACCTTGCTCCATTTCCGATTGCAACATGGTCATTTCTATGAGTGGAACAAAGAGAGATTATTAAAATGACAGCTGTCAGAGTGAAAAGTTGTAATGACACAAATGTCACTCTTTCCTTTTCCTTTGTAAGTGTCTAATGGAAGTTGTCTTTATCGCACCCATGGCCTATGTAGCAATTAAACATGGAGCAATTTGTATAAGACTCTCTCGGTTTATTCAACTCCCTATACCTATATTTATCACCCTCTATATTCATCCCCTTTTTTTGAGTATTTTCATTCCCGTTTTGCTGATCCGCAAATCCGGATTAATTTCCATTTTTTTTACTTTTCCATTGAAAAATTATAGCCGGTGGTGCTCCATTTAATGACGTGTTATTATTGTGTGTTTGCGTGTGGAAATTCTGGAAATTCTGGAAATTCTACTTAAACTGGAGAGCGAGCAAGTGAATGTGAGTGTGTGTCGGGAAAACGGGACTTTTCCGGAAAATTCCCTATCCGAGTGTACTCTTCGCTTTAACATTTTCACTTTTACGCCCCGGGAAATTCCGGGCCGCTCGTTAAGTTTCCAGAAATTATTTTCAGAAATTATTTCGCTTATTTTCATCTCCTCTCCCCGAGGAGAGGTTAATTGTTGTTTAAAAACTTTTATAAATGCGCCGGCTTTATCTCTGGATCTTTTATTTTATGGGTCTGGATAAATTCGTCTAGATTGATTTTTTCGGATATTTTCGTCAAAAAATTGACTATAGTATTTATGTCTAGGTAAATTTTTGCATAGATTTCTCTGTGTATGCCTTCATATTTTTGGATAAATTTTTAGACAAATATTTGGATGTATTAATATCTGGATAAATTACTGGAAAAATGTCTGTCTGTATAAATTTGATTTGGGGTCCGATGACATTGGACATTTCGAATGGTTTCTCTCGTCTAGCAAATATTCGCGAATATTTGATCGATTGATTAATGTTAATATTTATTCGAAATTGGGAATATAAACAAAGCAACAAACCGAGGTGAGTTTTGATAAGCTCATTTCTGGCAAATTGATTTCGAACGAACCTTCCAATATTTGATGCATATACATATACATATATGCAGATTATGGAGCTTTTATAATATTATCTATATAGGTAATAATAATAATAATAATTCCCGAAAACGAAAAACATCGGGTACGCTTATTATATTCCCTCCATGTAAATTTATTTCTTTATTTTCTTCTTAAAATCGTCCAAATATTCACATCCTGAAGTATATCGGCATTTAATTAATTAACACCCTGTATATGTCATTAATCTGTCATACAATTTCTACTAACCAACCACCCCATCGAATCAACCCCTATTTCTGGGCCAACTACGACAAGGTTTGTTCCGTTTGAAACATTCAACAGACCCTTCCTCCCTTATGCAGGTATCATTTTCTCAAATCGCCTCCACATCTCTCGTCGGGTTTACCCCTAAAAAATAAGGGTCGATTAACGGGGAAACTTGGGTCATTGTTTCTACACCCGGTTTACACTCTTGACGGGCGCCGACCCTTCGAGTTTCCCGCGTTCTTATGCTAGAGGGAAATTCGGAAATTCCTCCTTCGGAAAAGTTTCGGACGCGCGTCGCTATAAGTTAATTTATAGTAGTAAAGAGGGCGCTGCGTTCAACCCTTGTACCTTTTTCCCTTCCCGCCGGGCGCTTCCTCTTGAATTATTTACGATATCGGTACGTGCGAGGGGGTTGGGGGATGGGGATGAGGGGGTTGGAGAAGTTTCGAAGTTGTCCCGTTTCGTAATAAACAAAGGGGGTGGTACTGAATTAGTTCTATATAACGGTGATATCTAAGGGAAAGTTCTGGACGGTTTTATAGGGGTTGAATATTTACAAAATTTATATATTTATATATAGAGATGATAAGAAAAGGGCGTCGTCGTCGGGTGTTTTGCAGCGGAGCGTCGCGACGCCGCTCCGACGGAATATAACGAACAGTTTCCGGTTTCCTGTTTCTGGAGAGGCGACGTTTCGCACCGTCTTTCTTATACGCTCATCCAGACTCGGATGGATTGTGTTTTATTTTTTTTTGTTCTTCATCTATTTTGCTCTTTAACGAATAAATCAAATTTATGGAGCGCTCCTGGAAAATCTGCAATCTGCAATCTGCAATCTGCATTGCGATAAGAGAACTGTATACTTAGTTTAGTTTAGTAAAATATACAGGGTGTTAATTAATTGTATGCCGATACTTCAGGATGTAAATATTTGGATGGTTTTAAGAAGAAAAGTTTATATCAATGTATGTCCTAAACCTCTTAGTTTTCGAGCTACAGGGTGTTAAAATTTTAGAAAAAAAAATAACTTTTCTATCATAATTTTCTTATTACTCCAGATATTTTTATGAAATTTTGTATACACTTTTTAATTATTAAGGAGCATTTTTTGAGGCGTAAGATTTTTTTTAAATATTCACCAGTGACGTCCGTACGGGGTTTGAACTGAATATGTTTGAAGAAAAAAATGGTACGCCACTGCTTTTTCTAAAAACCAAAATTATTTCTAAAATCCTCATTTATTTTATAGCAAATTCGGTCAGAAGACTTATTTTCGTACGACGCACCATTTTCGCGTAAAAAAATAAAAACCAAAACCATTTTTTCCCAAATTCATTTTGAGACTACTTTTGATATTATATTGAAATTTGAAAGGCGCCCACCATGCATGGAAACACTTTTTTTTTGGGGGATAAAAATTAATTTTCTACTATTATCAGTGACGTCCACGTCCGAAATTTCATAAAAATATCTGCCTTAATAAGAAAATTATGATAGAAAAGTTATTTTTTTTGTCTAAAATTTTAACACCCTGTAGCTCGAAAATTAAGAGGTTTAGGACATACATTGATACAAACTTTTCTTCTTAAAATCGTCCAAATATTCACACCTTGAAGTATCGGCATTCATTTAATTAACACCCTGTATAGGTCGTAAATTAGTAACTACCCCTTTACGTGTAAAATATTTATTACACCCTTAGGAGGGCGCCCTTAAAAAAGGTTCCAGCTTCGGGAAAAGAAGCTCGAAAGATTTGTAAATACGCCGAAGAGAATTAAGCGACCTTAATCTCCTCCTTTTGCGGAGCGATTAATTCGAAGGGAGCGGGGTCTGGGGGTTGGGGGGGCGGCTCGGGGGGGCGGATGAGAAAAATTAGGAAATCCGTTTGTCGGAAGGGCGCCCGCCGCTCTCTCTAAATCATTCCATCTTGCGGAAACGTAAAGAGAAAAATGAAGTGCCATAAGTCCGAATTACGGGCGACCTATTATTTCGTTTTAACAAAGCCGACAGGGGGACGGGGCGTCTGCGATTTATCGTTCGAAAATATGAAAACGACAATCGCGTTGATTTTTCGATTAATTCGCCCGTCAAAACGTCTGATTTCCGATTTTTTTCGCGTTATACGTTTTTTTGTCCCACTTCTGATTTTTTTTTCCATCATCCCACTTCTGATTTTTTTTTTTTTGCCATCATCCCACTTCTGATTTCTGTATACCCGTTGGGAGATGTTGCTTTGAAAGAGGGAAACTCCGAACGCGCGGTTAATCCATTAATGAACGATTGATTGATCATTTAATGCGCTCGAAATTCGATATTGTATACACCTCAAATCTGGGCCGGACTCGATGGGAAAATTTCAGTTTTTTTTTATTCCGTTGAAAGATTTTTTCTTTATAGCTTGGCACATGCGATATATTCAATTGACAGATTAATGGCAGATTAATGACAATTTAATGACAGATTAAGAAGAAGTGACAGAAGAATGACGAATAATTTAACATGTTTAACAATTATTACACCAACAGTAAAAGTACCAAAAAAAATATCAAACCTCCTGTCATATTTTTTTTTGAAATAATGAGAATTATTTATAATTCTCTTTGTTAAAAATAACGCGATAAAATCGCGGCAGGCATTCGATTAAAATTAAAAAAAGAAAAAAAAAATCTTTCATTTTAGGGTACGGCGCGTATACACTCCCAACCCAACCGACTGGCCTTTTACTGACCTTGTCGCCGGTTAATAATTTTACGGAATGTTCCTGTTTCTCCAAAGTATTCGCCAATGCTCCGCCATTCACCTATTAGTACGCGAGCCTGCTGTACTTTTACTACATTATTCGCCTCAATATACTCAATTTATTACTCAATCGTCTCCACTATACGTTATACAGTTGACTTATGACATTTCATAAATTAAATAAACTGCTCCACAAAAGTTAAGGAGGTTCGCAAATTTTGCAATCGTTTTAAAAGCTACAGACTGTTTGATCGCCAAATTTTCACATATGCGAAATTAAATGTTTTCTCTCATATCTGAGTGGATTTTTTGCCCCTACCTCTACAACTCAAAATAAATTTGACGATCCAAAAACCTGCAACTTTTAAATTAATCTCAATATTTGTGAACTGTCTTAACTTTTGTGGAGCAGTATATTTAATTGACGTTTTAATATTTGATTCATTTTCGTACGTTAATTTATATTTATCTAGTAAGCACGGGAAATGGTTGTCGAACTTCGCTTTCAAAAAAAAAATCGATTAGATTTTATCGATAGAGTAGAGTTCGATTTTCTCGGAAGCGATAATATTATCGAGCTAATCGATTTCGAAATTTCTCCTGTTCTAATTGAAAGTTATTCGCAATTTTTCGAGTCGAACAAAGAAAAATAACTATTAAAATAACATAATGGTTAGAGTGAGAAAGTTATTGCAATCCCTCTCACAATATACAGGGTGTTCCTAAACATCGTGTACATCCGAAAGGGGGTGATTCCTTGGCTTATTTTATGACTAAAAGTTCATATAAACATATACAGGGTGTTGAAATTTACTTTTTGTTTTGTTTTTTCTTTGTAGCTCCTGCACATTATGAGATATTTAGCTCAAATTTTGAATCTAGATTGCTTTATAGGGCACACATTATTGGGTATATCAGATGATTGTAGAATTCTACAGGGTGATATTTTTTCAGGGGTCATGTACCCTTTTTTCCCCCTCGAACTTTTTTCCTGTGCGCCGCTGGTAGATTCTAAAATACAAAATTAATTGTCTGTTTTGTTTATAATTTTTCGATCGCACCTCGTATAGGTGTTATTTGAAATGTTCAACGACCCGACGACCGTGACTATATGCCTATATAGTTTATGTATATTGTATTTATATACCTGAAATGTGAAAGTTGTCGCGGAACATTCGCTATTTCTATACACTGTAGATATTTTCGCGTTTTATGTTACGTGGAATCGAAGTGAGCTTCGCTTAAAATTATTATCGTATTAATTTAATTGTAATTTGAAAAATGAGAAATCGCTCGAGAATCGCTCGTTAAGTAACGAGGATAATTAAAAATCGGTGTATTTTTACGAAATTTTCACTTGGAGTGTATTTAATTATTTATTAATTTTATTGAAAATAATCGTAACGACAGATTTTTTGCGATTAAAATTTTATCTCTAATTCGCGATCGAATTTGTTATCTTTCAAAACTCGAAATAAATGTATGTAGTTGATTTGAATTGATAAATTGATAATTCTTACATAAAACGCAGTAAAACAATTTCCATTTTTTTGTTGAAAAAAAAAATTTCGACAATTTTTATGGTTAAAAAAACACAAATTTCATTCGTATACAATTTTCTGATTATTATAAAATTCCATAAAATTTCATATAAAGCAAATTAATTTAAGTATATTTACCTAATCTTTTACAAATTTACACCTAACTCTATGAAATAAAAAAATAAAATTTAAATCGAATAATTTAAAATAAACTGCTCCACAAAAGTTAACGAAGTTCGCAAATTTAGCGATTATTTTAAAAGTTTGATCACCAAATTTTCAAATATGCGAAATTAAATGTTTTCTCTCATATCTTAGTGGATTTTTTGCCGCTACCTCTACAATTCATACTAAATTTGGCGATCAAAAAACCTGCAACTTTTAAATTAATCTCAATATTTGTCAACTTCCTTAACTTTTGTGGAGCAGTATATATTCATCATCACATTAAAATCGGCAAGCTCGAAAAGGAATTGCCTTTTCAACACGTTCACCGCCTGACAATTCCTATGTACATTATTAATGATTACCTATATTATAATTACATAAAAAAATTTACAACAAGACATCTCATATACCAAAAAATAAGCCTAATTGTTGACAGTGACGTCACTGCAACCAGCCAATTTGGCATACAGATTGCTTCAATTCAGACCGCAACATGGTCGTTTCTATGAGTTGAACAAAGAAAGATTAATAAAATAACAGTTGTCAGAGTGAAAAGTTGCAATGACACAAATGTCACTCTTTCTTTTTCTTTTGTAAGTGTCTAATGGATGTTGTCTTTGTCGTACCTATAGCCTATATAACCTATGTTGCGATCTGAAATGAATCACAGTGTATAATATAAAATTAGTTAATTCAAGTTGGCACCACTAAAAAAATGCATTGTTGCCAACCTAAAACGCGAATTAATCACCGTTAGACAACCCGTTGCTCTCCATGTCGTTGTTGTTGTTCAAAATCAACAACTCCTCGTCGGACAACAAAACGGTTTTCCGATCGAACACCTTCCCCTTGACCCTCACCTCCAAATTCTCCCCCCCGTACGACAACAACGGCGACACCTCCACATCGGGACACCGCACAATTCCCCCGGCTTTTTCGATCCACCTCCCGTGCAACCGCAACAAATCGCCGCGACACGTGCTCGGGCAATCCACGGCGCCGGCGCCATCGGCGTTCTTCAGCGCGCTGAACTCGCCGCCGCGCCCGACCTCCCACGCCGCGAACTTCTTACTGAACTCGAACACGTCGAACACGAACTTTTCGATTTTTACACCGTTCGGCCGACTCGGCGCCACTCGGCGCCCGTCGGCGCCCACGTGCGGAATCTTCTTGCGCGCCACGTGCAACTTCAAATCCGGCTCGTGCACGTCGGCGACGCGCTCCAGAAACGCCACCGTAAAGAAATGGTTGCATATATTCCCGGCGTCGAATCGCAACGAGCCGTCGTGGCGAGTCAGGCGCGCCGTCTCGGCGCCGATTTCGCTGTACTCGACGACGCGGTACCGGCCGTCGGCCAGGCACACGACGCCGACGGCCTCGTCGGCGCGCGACTTTTTCACCACCTTGGCGCCGCACTCGGCGCCCTTGCGCGCGCAGTACCCGACGAACGCCGGATCGGCCACTTTCACCAGGATGTTGTCGACGCTGTAGGCGTGCACGTAGCATATCCCGCGCCTGCGCATATCCTCCAGCACGCCGTGTCGTTTCATCGCCCTGTAGATGCCGCCGTTGCCGTCGGGCGCCAGCGCCACGGCGCCCTTGGCGTCCAGTAGGATCTTACCGTCGAAATCGAAGCACGGTAAAACGCCTTGTTCGAATAGTACCACGTCGTCGGGGTTCAAACCGAAGTAATCGTTGCGTTTGAGGTAGTTCTCGGTGGTGGCGTTGGTGGCGCCACTCGTCATGATGTACCAGCAGATCTTGCCGGTGCGGCCGGTTTGTTGCTTCGCCAGTACCACCAATCGCCTGAGGCGTTCGGCTTGGATGCGGAACAAGGTCTTCTCCGAAGGCAACCCCACCGAGTACATACCCTTGGGGTAGTTCACCCCTAATCTGGTACCTTGGCCTCCGGCCATCAGCAACACGGCCACTCTACCTCGGGAGATCTCTTCGAGTCCCGTGCGTTGGTACTCGAGCAACTTTTCCGGATCGCAGGTGGCTTCTGATTCGACGATATCGTCTGGTAACGGCGCCATGGTGGTAGGCGTCGCGGCGTCTTCGCCGCTCGTCGCTTTGGCGAAGAGCGTCGCGGCGCGTTCGACGTCGACGGCGGCCAGTTGGCGCAGGAAGGACGAGCGCTCGTCGGCGGCGAGTTCGTCGACGAAGGCGAGTAGATGGCGCTGGCCGGCGCGGTGGAGTCGCTCGGCGATTTCGCCGAAAGTACCGCCGGTACTGCCGGTACTGCTGGTACTGCTGGTACTGCTGGTACTGCTGGTACTGGTGGTGCTGGTCATGGCGCGGAAGTTCGGTGAGTACTGGTTTCGTTGTTCGTTTGTTTGGTTGTTCTCGCGCGTTATAGTGGAAAGTGGCGTAGTAGGTGGGGGGGAGAGTGGGATCGGTACTTTCGAATTTTCGAATGCGGCGGGTCGGGTACTTGTCTTGTAGATATTTTAATAACGTGATTTGTTGAGGTAGATTAGCGATTGTTTGCTTAATGGATATTTTTTTTATGATTTTTTGCGGTAGAAGCAAATAGAGTGCTATTGTTTTTGGCACTTTAGATTAGTTCGAGTCGATGTGATAACGAATGTATGATTGATTGTATCCGTAGAATTGGGCGGTACGATAAACAGTTCTTAGAACCACTTTATGACGGTTCCAGAACAAATTGGAACTACTTAGAATATCATGTGCGAACATTTCATAACTGATCAGGACCATTCGAGACAGTTCAGAACAATCTTAGAACTGTTATAGAACAAATAAAACCATCCAGTAGAATAGACCAATTTAAAATAGTTCATATAGAACCATTTTAGCATTAACTAGAACCATTTGAATCAGTTCAAAACCCTCCTAGAACCATTTAGAAGGGAATAAGGACAAATTCAGAAATACAGTGTGTCCCAAAAAGTTGAAAAAAAAAATGGGGAAAAAGTTACATCTTACATTTCACAAAAAAATGTATTCTTGATAAAATTCCACAAACTGTTCATTATGCATCATTATGCACAATTTTTTCCTGTATTGAAGACAATTTTTTAAACATTTTATACCTGATTGTGGATCTACAAGTCATGCAAAGAATTTAATCAAGAATAATTTTTTTTGATCAAATGTAAGATAAAATATTTCCCCATTTGCATACAACTTTTTGGGACACACTGTATGTATTTAGAACGATCCAGGATAAACTAGAATAACCCACATAGAACTAAAAAAAAAAATCAACATTAAAAACTGTACCTATAATCACTAAATTATCACTAAAAAAATACATCACTAGAAATGCCAGGTTAAATCGACACACAACCCCAATCTTGGGGGGTTGATAACATAGAGAAAAAACAACTCACCCCCTCGTGCATTCAAGATCCATATAAATAATACCCTCCATCAGGAGAGAGCCAAAGGAGAAGAGAGAAAAAAAAAGGATCAACTTCACTTTTCTACATGTCCTGCGAATCCTGCGGAACTGTTTACAATACAAATCGCCAATAAATCACCCTCGTCTTTGACGCTTTTGTTCCTTTCTCTTTTTACCGCGTTCGATAGAAAAGGGACAGAAACGCGGAACGCCCGTCATTTGTTGTGCTTTCGATTTTTCTTGTAATTTATTTAGATTAATTAATTATACGAGGGCGAGGTGAAAAGTTCTCGGTCTAAAAGATCGAGATTTTTAATTAGAAAAAATTACAATATTCTTCTTAATAAGTCGAAATCTTGACAGGAAACTGTAATGTCGGTAACGATCAATTTAATAGAGGAGGTTTTCCCTAAGGCGGTGTTGCCGAAATGTCGTCGTTTTACTTGATTTAAGGGAAAGTTTAAATTATTTAAATCGCAAAAAGTCGTAAAAGGGGATTTCGCAATAAACCCGGGTAAATTTGAATATAAATTAGAAAAGCCTGTAATGCGGAAAGAATACATTTATATGGAGTATACAAAAGCGGTTTGCGAATCTGTGCGCGGGACATTTTCCGCATTTTAAGTGCATTTCCTCGAGGAAAACTCGACCCATTATTGGATTTAACTGAAAGAGACTAAACTGTACAGAATGTCTTCTAGAAATATTTCATTACTGCTCAATAAACGGAAGATTTCGAGTTAATTTCTGTAAAAAATAAAGCAATTGAGATGTTTCTATCTCGATTTTTATTCAAGATAATGGCAATTTTTCATTGAATTTGTAAAAAAACCCAAAATATCTTGGTGGTAGAGAAACATTTTTTTCTACAAAACAATACAGCGATATTTTTCAAAAGTATTTCAAAAAACAGCGTTGCCGGTTCGACTCGAATTTCCAGCAAACTTTTACAATCCGAACAACCGTTAAATATTATATAAAAGAACCGGTTTTAATGAGCGCTCAATTAGTTAGAGTTTGCATTCGACATTGAGCTAGAGCAGCTCTAAATTGCTCGCTTTAGAAAAGCGATATAACGAGTAAAGTCCTCTCCGTAGGGCAGGAGAGAGATAGAGAGAGAGCGATAAAGAGCGAGTTAGAGCCCACAGCGAGAGGGAGAGAGAACGAGCCGATTTAAAGCTAATTGGACAAGTTTAGATCTGCTGATAGGAGTTTTAGGAGTTGTTAGAGAAACAGAAAAAAATAAAGGCTTAATGAATGGATTTTATTATAAATTATGCTGAGTTTCATTAACGAATTTAAATCGAACTCAAAGGCATTTCTTACATTTTTAATGTGGGTTGAAAATATTAATAAATCGAGGACAATTTTTGATGATTCTAGAGCCTCCCTGTATAAAGCGATTTTCAAATTATACGCAGTGTTATTAAAGCTTTTCTAAAACCACCTGGAATTTATCACAAAACCTGGATCAAAAAAAACCTAAAGAAAAAAAAAACTGGATAGATTATAATTTGAATGGCACAAAGAGGGCTCCTTATACAAGGACGATAAATCATCGGAGTTTATAGAAGGAGACTTTTTAATTGTTTAACCGGTTTTAACTGGAGTTCGAAAATTACGGGAGGAAAGAAAGAGAGAGAGAAAAAAAAATCCGCCGCGAGCGAAACGAGTGGAGAGTAATTAGATAGTTACTTAGCGATCCGGTAATTAATTAAAAGAGCTACTAATTAACTCGATGTTATACGTAGATTAATTAAATGAAGGTACGCGAAATTCTTTTATTCGAATTAGACAAAAAAAAAAATGTTTGGTTTTTTTTTTTCGGAATTATTTTGAAGCGTTTTATAACTGACGAGGACTGTTCGAAGCAGTTTGGGACGATCTTAGAACGTTCAGAACTGATATACAGGGTGTTCCTAAACATCGTGTGAAATTCCAATTTTTTTTTTGTTTTTTCTTTGTAGCTCCTGCAGTTTTTGAGATATTTGGCTCAAATTTTGAATTTAGATTGCTTTATAGGGCACACATTATTGGGTATATCAGATGGTTGTTGAATTTTACAGGGTGATATTTTTTCAGGGGTCATGTACCCTTTCTTCCCCCCGAATTTTTTTGCTGTGCGCCGCTGGTAGATTCTAAAATACAAAATTAATTAAATGTTTTGTTTAGGAACTTTTTTATTTTTAAACTTTTTTCGTTTCTGTGACCGATATCGAGAAAAAAATTAAAAATAATTTTCTGTACAAATGATTTATTTAACAAAACGAAAACCCTAAATAATAATTATTAAATTACATTATAATAAATGTTGAAAGTGACCCCCTCCTACTCAAATTATACTCTATACCCTATATCCTATACCTAATTTGAGCTAAATATCTCAAAAACTGCAGGAGCTCTAAAAAAGAAACAAAAAAAATCTTGAAATTTCAACACTCTGTAAATAAACCAAGGAATCACTCCCTTTCGAATGAACACAATGCTTAGGAACACCCTGTAGAACAGGTCCAAGAGTGGTCAAAATGTAATGTTAATATAAACTTTGTTTTCCACAGTTTGCTTGATTGAAATTTTAAGTAACTAACGTCGCCCAGTTGGCCGTGAAATCGCCCCGTTTCTACACTGCTCAACAATTGAAGTGGATAATATAAAAATTCCTGTAATTTCGTTGTAAATATTTAAAAGAAAAAACGGTATTCACATGGAATGGAAGTTTAATCAGAGAAATAATAAAAACAACCTAAAAAACAAATATTCATTAAGCAAAATGGGTGTTAAGAAAAAATGACAATTTAAAGAAAATAACATCATACAAAATTCCATCATTACGCTTCTTACAACGGCTGTTTACAAAAATTAATACCGTGTAGGACCACCTCGGGCTCGCCTTAATGCCGTTACTCGATTTGGGAGACTGTCTATTAAATTATTGATGAAGTGCCTTGGAATGCCTGCCCAGATTACTTGCAATGCGTTAGCTAATTGTGGTAATGTTTGTGGAGGTTGTTCAAGTCGATTTAATTGCCTAGACATTTCAGCCCAAACATGCTCGATGCAATTCATATCTGGTGAGCAAGGAGGCCACTCCATTCTAGCAAATCCATGATGTTCTACCCGGTCGTTTACAAGTCTTGCTCGGTGAGGACGAGCATTATCATCAATAAACACAAATCTTGCACCTATGGCGCCAGCAAATGGTACGACTATAGGCTCTATAACCATGTCGCGATACCGTACAGCCGTCATTGTTTCATTAATCAACACCAGTAGCTCAGTGCGGCCATCATAACATATGCCGCCCCAGACACAAACTGATCCTCCACCGAAAGGAGTGGTTGGCGCCATTAAATTTGCATTATACCGCTGTCCTCTTTCTCTCCAGACTAAAATTCGACCATCACACGTATACAACCGAAATCGTGATTCGTCTGAGAAAAGACAATGCCTCCAATTTTCAAGATTCCAATTTCTGTGCTCTATAGCCCAACGATGTCTGCATGCACGCTGCGCCGCCGTTAACCGTGGGTGTGTAGGGCGTCTTCTTGCTCTCAAATTACGCATATGTAACCGTCTTCTGATAGTCTGACCGGAAATAACTAGTCCAGTAGCTTGCCTAAAGAAGCTGTTGATTCTTGAAGCCGTGAATGTTGGGTTTCTCCTTGCAGTCAGGACTATTAAACGATCTTGAGCTTGTGTTGTGGCTCGTTCTCGTCCTCCTCCATGGGTATACTCTGCATTCCCAGTCTCTACATGTCGATTCCAAGCTCGACTGACGACGCTTTGAGACACATTTAATCGCGTAGCGACTTCTTGTTGGGATACTCCTTCAAGTATCCAACGCACTAATTGCTCCAGTTGCACTGCCTGTAATCGTCCGTAGAGGCATAACTTTAACGTAATAAGGTAAAGTAACAAGGTTTTATTGCTAAAAACAACAG